TTGCTTTAAATGTAAGAAATCAATGTATTTTACCTCTCAAATCTATATGTTTCCTTTTTGAAAAAAAGAAAGTAGAGCTAGGGTTGGGAACATATACTTAATATAATTAATAATCATTTAAATAGAATTGAAAAGTCCAAATCTTTGAATGAGTTGGTAGGATTAGTTTTCTCTTGCGTGCCCAAGTGTGTGTGTGTGTGTGTGTTAGCCTGGATTTTCCAATGATTAGTAATTTAGGTTAGGAAGTTAAGAATTTGACCCATCCGATAAGTAATGAGGGCAATTAAAACCCACACCTCGTTACGAAATCAAATTGAATTAATGGAACAAATATTTGACTAAAGTTATTAATTTTGTTAGCCATTATTAATTAATTTTTATTTACGCAATATATGAAGACATCCATATAATCTATGTGATACTTTTTCTGTTACATTCACATTGCACCTTTACTCTGTGATTTCACCCACTTGAACTCAAACTTTACTTAAGAAAAAAAAAAAGGAATAAGCATATCTCTAAAGAGGATTTAGGGGGTGTTTGGATAGAAACCAAACCATGGTTTCAGAAGTGTTTTTACGGTTTACGAAGTAAATATGTGGAGGAGTTTGTCTCGTTTTACGGAAAAATGCTTCTGAAACCATGGTTTGGAAGTTACCAAACACCCCCTAGCTTAGTGTCTTTATATTATTGTTACTTTTGAGCCTAAAATATGAAAATATTTGCAAACAAATACATTAGGCCTAAAAGAAAGCTCCCCAAAGGTCCAAAACGGCACAAATCAAATGTTGCATTAAAAAATAGTCGTTTACATTTTTTTTTTTCAAAAACTACTCTGGTATTATTTAAAATGTTTGACTCATATCAAGGATTTTCTTAACAACTAAAGTTAACATTTAACATTTTGATATTATTTTTTAGTTACATCTAAGATTTTAATTTTATTCATAATATATCAAACACTCTGATGTTATTATTTTAGTATTTTTAAAAATCTAATCTTATTTATAATATATCCAGCCCTTTAAATTATAAATATTAACATGATTGTAAATTGAGCTTCAAAAGATGATTGGAGTGGAAAGGGTGCAAAAAAGCCGAGGAAGGCGCTGGAGGAGGGTGAGGGGGAACGAGTGGCAGCCGGCTGTGAAGGCCCTGCTTCTGACTTTATTCAATTAGTGGGTGCCCTCCCCCACTCTTTCTTTCTTTTCCGCTGTTGACCTCATCGCCCAATAAATCATCTCCACCTGTCTCGCTTTCCGTCACTGTTCTATTTATTTTATTTTTTAGAAAATATATTATTTGCGGGGACCACGTTACCGTTGTCCCCCCGGCTCCCGTTTCTGTGCTCAATGACGCATATGCCCTTCTCTCCCATTTCTTTTTCTTCTTTTTTTTCTCTCGATAAGCTGGAAAAAAAAAACATTTCTTCCTTTTAAGACTGTGGAGAAACACATTTTTATTATGTGTAATGTAATATAATTATTTCTATTTAGAAATATATATTACTCTTCTAATCCTAAATATAAGACTCATTTTAACTTTACACTACAAAATAAATTTTATATTTAAAATCCAAGAGGTAGTATTTTTGCTCCCCACATGATCCAAAAAAAATAAGACTTATTATTATTGTTATACATAGATTTTTGGCTGAGCGAACAATAAATATATAAAAATAAAATATAAACATTTTTGAAGTAATATAATATCTCAGAATCATGCCTGCATTCTAATAGAGTAAAGCTTTGTACTTATAAATGCACACAAATGTCTAATTTTAGCTTTTTCAACCCTTACAATAGTTGAATTTCAGTGTTTGGTTGAAGAGAAATATCAGATAAAATAGGCACTAGGATATTATACATATCATATAAAGCATAAAATTAGTTTGCTTTTATATATGTGACCACTCCAATTAGGCCTCTGTTGAGATTGAGATTGGTCCCTTTCAATTTGTAGCAAAAAGCAGCTTTGTGTGATGTGGTTGTCTCGCCTCTCTCAGCACAGAAGCAATCGTTCAAACCAATTTTGACGCCACCTTAAAAAGTTATTTTATAATTTATTTATCTAACTTTTGCACGGAGGGAAAAAAAAAGTCTTATAAATTCAAACAACTTTGCCTTTGAAGGGACGAGAAGGCCTACACATCCAACATCACCAATTCTATTTTTTAATAATAATAGGTAGTTCGTTTGTCAATCTAATTCAATAAAAAGTAGACGAATCTGTCCTGTCATGAGGTATTCAATTCAATTTTTACCTGCATACCATACTCTTTCAAGTACTTTTTTCTGTAAAATTCTTTTATGAAATATAATACTGTTAATATTATTTTTTTAATTCAATAGTGCATCTATGATTTTATAATTTTCTAGTATATTATTATATAATTAATTAATCTGTCACGACAAAAAACTAATTTATAAATGCTTTCATCATACTTGTTGTTGCAGTGAACTTCCGCATTAATAAGTCATTAATATTTACTTATAATCTAACATGGATATAGATATAGTTATCAATCTATATATGAGATAAAAGGTCTAACAAATTATTATTTATTATTTATTTCTCGAAATTTTTTATTTTTAATATTTAATTTTAAAATATCAAGATTGGATAATCACAAACAAAAGGGGATGGGTGGCATAGTACTACACGTTGTAACATGCTACACCTAATATTAGGTTTGAAGTTCAAATTCTTTTGTTTTTAGGTGAGAGGAACTCAAAATTTTTATAGATACAGTGAAATAGTCTAATAAATTGTGAGGTCCTAGATATTAGCTTTGTCATTAAATCAATTAAAACAATGATTTGATGATGAATGATGTAATGTTGAATCGATATTAACCTAATCATAATTAAAATAATATTAAGTGATTAAAATATAAAAACAAAATAAATGAAAAAAATATAAAATCCAACCTAGTTGACCTGTTTAACCCTTGTATGGATTAGTAGGAGGTTGGTTCATCGGTGTTCATCAGTTGATTAGTCTAATTGGCCAATTCAGTTTAAATTTCAATACCATTTTGAATTGTAATATTTATGTTTGGAGCTCAATTTTCAAATTAACACATAGGGCGAACTAATATTTTTTTAAATTTAAATATAAAAAATAATAATAAAAAAAGAGGGGTATGTGGTATAGTATTACACGTAGTGCCATGCTCTACCAAATATCAAGTTTGAAGTTCAAATTCATTTGTTTTTTCAGGTGAGAAGAGTTCAAAAACTTTTAAATTTTAAGATTTGTGTTTGTATATGTATGTGGCCACAATAATAAGACGTGAAAGTTTGAGTGGACAAAAGCTATTTCCAAATTGTCACGTCCTTTTCTTCAAGGCCAAGCGCATATAGTTATGGCTTGGGGCTTATATCCTTTATACCTCTCATTTTAAACTTATCCTCAAAACATGAATCTATATAACGTCTATCTCTCTATACCCTTTTAGATAATGAAAGGCATGTCCTTAATTTTCAGTGCAATCATAGAGGGACCACTATACCCCCATACTTTATTGTTCACCACTTAACCTCTTTTTCTTTGTCCCTTTGTTTATAAAGTAACATATTAAAGTAATGCCACGTTTGGTGTTTTACAATTATATATTTTTTTCCAGTGATAACATTTTAGAAAAAAAGTCGGACTCACCCACAATTCAAGAGCAGGGAAACTAACCCTTGATCTCAGTCCTACCCAACACCGTAGTTTAAATTAGGACGGGGAGAGCTCCACATAAGGGATCACCACATGTTACGAGCTGAGACCTTAGCTTTAAATATACCTCCCCCAACACCTCGACCAGCTTAGGGGTTGAACCCACCCCGTTTGTGAGTGTCCAACCCCTTTGCCAACTGAACTCAAGGACAAGGGGCTATAATTATGTTTATTTAATTTTTGCTTCTTGCTCATATCCCGAAATTATAATCTCATGAGCTTAATAATGGTATTATCCTAGGGATGTGACATTAATGGTCTTATTGGCTATCTTTGTGTTTAATTGAATTATTGAATGTTGTTGTATTTATGGCGGTCAATGTTTCAAACAGTTTCCACATCATCGTCATTTATACACATTTCAGTTTGGAGGTTCCTTTTAAATAGTAATTTTAACCAAAAATTGTTTCCTTGTTACATGTTTGGTTGTGTAAAATTCCATTTTGGATTTTGACGAGGAAATCTTGGCGTCAAAGTGAGAGCTGAAATCATTGTAGGTTGGAGAGGAAAGCACAAGACACAATGATATGATATTGTGGTATATATATGGATTAAATATAATTTTTTTGTCTAGCTAATGGTAATATTTTATTATTTTTGAAGGATTTATATCAATTTCATTCTTTTTTTTTTGTTACCACAATATTGTTTGTTGAAACTTTACACAAAGTTTTAACTAGAGTTACTATGGCAAAAAAGCATAAGATTAAATTTCAATGAGAAGATGAACTTAAATGTAGCATAAAGTCGGCCAATTACACATATTTTGATTTTTTTCTCACTTCACATACTTAATTACCTGAGTTTGAATTATTCATCAATTAGAACAGCCTGCATTAAATAAATTTTAAAATTTAAAATTGAAAATTTTAAAAATTTAAATTATTTGAATTTTTGTTGAGATAAAAAATATTTTGATAAATTTAATCATTTCAATAATAAAATATCATAACTATTTTAAACCATATTAAGAGATAAATAATCAAATAACATGATCAATTTCAAAGTTAAATCAAGAAAAAAGTTAATCCTCCAGAGAAAGTAATTAATGAAAGTAATAACAATGAAACTCCAATACCGGAATCTACTCCTGTCATCTAAGAAGGACGATAGAGTTGTAGTTACTTCAAATATTTAGTCCTTAGTAATTGATTCCTTTAGATTATTCTACTTCACAAGTACAACTATCGAACAGTAGCATTTGATCTCTCACGTTGTTTCCCTCGTACGCTTATCCAACTCATTATTTTATTCGTTCGATTTGAAAATTTCCACATTACGTTCCAATTTTTTTATTCGTAGCTTAGAATTATTATTGTTTGTATCCGATCCAAACCGTTTTCTTAAGAAACGAATGTCGAACTGTGTGGCCTGCCACATCAACTGAGAAAATTTGAATTTCTGGGCACAAAAGCAAAGGCGACAACCCCAGCAACGACAACAAAGGATCTTCCTTCAGTGTGAGTTCGTAAAGGAAAAGCGGGTTTTTGATTCAACGGGATAAAACCCATTTAAAGAAAAGAAAAGCCAGATTAGTGAACAATTTGCCTAAATTGTTCCTGTTTTTGTTGTCTCTGCTTCCTCCTTTTTCTCTCTCGAGTCTGAGGAGGTTGGTCTTTCCGAAACAGCCTCAACCTGCCTTCCTTACTCTTCATCCTCGTAACTTACGCTTTCAGTGATGGAAACCCGTGCACCTTCTTGATTTGATGATTAGGCTTTCCGAGAGAATTTTTGGAAGCTGCGAGAAATAACGAATTTGTTACTTGCCTGCCATTCTTAATAGTTTTCTTCTACCAGTTTGGTGGGTTCGGTTTCCAAGTTAATTCAGCGGATTAGTATTATTGGGTTCTTATATTTTGCTGTTATTTAGCATTTAGCTGGTGGAATTTGAAGAGAAGTAGTGATTTTGAGTTGGCTATAGAATTTGAGTGGAAATCTGGAAAGTTTATTCGAATTTGGGAGTCTTGGTGGCACTAACAATGATGTTATCAGCATCGCCATCCTCGCTAGCGAGGAGTTCGCTAGAGGTAATGCTTGAATCGCTCCAGCGGAGAGAGGAAGAGGAGAATAAGCCAAAGGACTTGCCGCCGGCATTGCCAGCTCGTCCGACCTCCAAAGCTCGGCTTCCCTCCGCGAGAAGGTCATTGCCGAATAACTTAAACTTCATGGTTAATGGAGATCCTGGTGAGACAGAATGCCTTGCGAACGGATTTCATGATGCGAGCGAAGAGACTAAGCGGAAAGATACAGTTGATTTGGGACACAAGATAAACGGAAGCCTTGGGAGCAAGAAGTTGAAGAGGGATGTGGAATCGCCATACGCCCTCGCATCAGAAGAGAACCAGAGCGACCAAATATCATCTAAGAGTCTAGAATCCCACTCGGATGATAACGTTACCTATTTCATCAAGAAGGTAACTGGGAACTGGAAAAAAAAAAGAATTATTATGATCTTGCAACGACTCAGTTTATGAATGGTTTTAGAAGTGGTTGTTACATGTTAGTAGATAACACTCACATTTAGTTGTTTGAAACAATTAATTCTAGTAGCATTGCATAAAGGTTGTGGTGCTTAAAAGAAAGCAATCCGTTGAAAGACAATATGGTTGTTACCATGGTTGATGGAAAGTATATTTGAAATATAATTTCTTAGTTGCTTGGGGTGATTGACCTGTAGATGTAAGCCCAAATTTCTCTAATCACGTTAATCATGCTGAGAGGCTTGATGGGTTATATTGAGAAATATCAAAATACCTTGTTATTGATCAGATCAGATTTCCGCTCGGGGCATTTATTCATTTTTATTCATTTATGTTTGATGGCAGCGTCAATTTGTGTTCTTTTAGGCATAGATTACGGAACACATTACTTTCCTCTCAAATTCCTTTCTGTTTGTGGTCTTCTCGTTGGTGTCTTCCTATTTGTTTTAGAAAAATCTAGTGGGAAATGCTGGCTCCATCAGTCGATATATGGAAAGTGTAGTTGTTAGAAGATATTAAAGTTATGTCTGAAATATTTGCCGAGAATCTTAGATGTATAGTCGCAGCTTTTTTCTATTTGAAATTATATTTCAGCAACCCATTTGTTCCTTTGACATTTAACTATTAGTTTTGATAGACACATTTTTTATGGCATGTTCATTTCTGTGTTCGGTTCTTTTCCCAGAAACTTCATGTGTGGTGTAGGCAACCAAATCGGCACTGGGGACTAGGAAAGGTACAGTCAACTTCAAGAGAAGCTGCTTCAATTTTACTCACAAATGGAAATGTAAGTTTGTAGGTCTTCTGTGTCGTTGAAAAATAGTGTGTTTCTGAGTTTGCAAGTTGAGAAATTTTTTTGTACCATCGTGTTGTTACTGTAGGTTATGAAAGTGGCCATATCAGAGCTCCTACCAGCTAATCCTGATATTCTAAAAGGCGTCAATGATCTCATGCAGCTGATTTATCTGAATGAGCCATCAGTTCTTCACACTCTTCGTTTTAGATATTCTCAAGGAATGATTTATGTATGTGTACAGCTTTTGGCTCATTCTTTTTCTGCGGTTACTGTCCATCTCTCTCATATGCTCCTGTGCTTTCTTAATATAGAGTAAAGCAGGGCCCATTTTAATAGCACTCAATCCTTTCAAAGATGTCCAGAGTTGTGGAAATGATCACGCCACAACTTATAGTCAGAGATGCATGACTGACCCACATGTTTATACCGTGGCAAATGCAGCTTATAGTGAGATGATGAGAGGTGAACGGAATTCCCCCTTTCTAAGTCCTTTGTAATTTCTATTCCTGCACTTGTGGGATGAATGTTACGTTTTTAAAGGATTTCTGATTGATTTTTGTCTGTTGCAGACAAAGTAAATCAGTCCATCATCATAAGGTAAGCTCCATATCAGTTTCAGTACATAGGGGGCTCTGTTGCGTGTATTTCTCTCAAAAGATGTTGCTCCGATCAATAGTTTCTACGTGTCTTAGCAGGCATAAGACAGGATTATCAGTGTATTGTTAATAATTGTTAGTTTTTGTCTACAGTGGTCAGAGTGGATCTGGGAAGACAGAGACAGCCAAAATCGCCTTGCAATATTTGGCTGCTCTGGGTGGTGGTAGCTGTGGCATAGAAAATAAAGCCCTTCAGACACATTTTATTCTAGAAGCTTTTGGGAATGCAAAAACACAAAGGCACAACAATTCTAGCAGATTTGTAAGTTCCTGTGTTTCTTTTCATTTTAATGGAACTTACCAGTGCTAATATTCTATGAAATTTTTTAGCTTGAAAGGTTTATTGATTTGTGTGTCCATAAAATTTTTGCTGTTTAATGGCTTTAATTTCTCCAAAGGCTAAGAGGTTTAATCAATGCATATTTTGGCTTGTTCGGAGCAGGGAAAGTCACTTGAGATTCATTTCACTGCAGCTGGGAAAATATGTGGAGCTAAAATTCAAACCTGTAAGCATGTTGATGTGTCAGTGCAACGGTGTTTTCCCCCCTTTTTTATATCCTTTTCTATTGAGCTTACTAACTTGTTTACTCTTGTGGGTTTGACTTTGCAATTTGCTAAATGGAACATGGTAACTAATAGTCATGTTACAGAAGGTAAACTTGGATGCCTTACTTGAACTTAAGGGTGGAACTATGTTATTTATCTGCTGTTTGTCCTGATTTCATTGTCTCCTGTGAGCAGTCAAGAGTTGTTCAGCTGACCAGTGGTGAGAGGTCATATCACATCTTTTATCAACTTTGTGCTGGATCTTTACCTGGTCTTAAAGGTACTTTTCTCTTCCATTGTGAGCTTCTTTGCACACATACACACGCGTACATTTATCATGTGATGTCTCCTCTGCAGTGTAATTCTTTGATCAGCTTAAATGAATTTATGAATACCTGATATTTTAACTCATGTTCAAGATTACTTTATTTTGTGCTGCAGAGAAGCTGAATCTTAGAGAGGCCTGTGAATATAAATATCTTAATCAGAGTGACTGTATGACAATAGATGGTGTCGATGATGCTAAAATGTTTAATAACCTGCTGGTATAATTCTGAACACTTCATTTCACGATCAATTTCCTCTTCAAGTTTGCTTCTGTCCTCCTAAGATATCTTTATCTAATTTTCCCATTTCTCTCTCTGCTATTTCCTTAGAATGCGCTGGATGTTGTTCAAATTTGCAAAGAGGATCAAGAACTAGTATTTAAAACCCTTGCTGCAATATTATGGCTTGGAAATGTATCATTTCAAATATCTGACAATGAAAATCATGTTGTGGTGGTGGATGATGAAGGTATGATTAAAAGCTTTGTGTTACTTATGCTGTGCTGTTTTGTGCATGGATTTTTAATGGCAATGAATATTTGAGTACTTATAGCCAAAAAGAAAATTTTTGGAATTCAGTTAAGGAATAACAAATATGAAAATAAGAGCCTCCGTTCGTAAAATTTGTGAAAAATGTCGATTGATTCGTAGACGCGGACGAATTATAGTAATTTGTTCCAATCCAAGACATAAACAAAGACAAGAATAATCTTAAAAGCGAGGTGGGACTATCTTAAACAGATCCTTTCCGTGTGATGCTTTGTACGGAATAAACAATGTCTGGTACTGTTTTGAGCAGGAGAGGATTTGAAGTGGTACACAATGACTATATGGCTGACATAGTAACGCAAGAATTTAAATGACGTGTCAGTTACATCTTACAAGTGACTTACATAAATATATCTCTTTTGGCAGCTGTCACCAGTGCAGCCATGCTGATAGGTTGCAGTTCTCAAGAGTTAATGGTAACTTTATCTGTGTGTAAAGTCCAAGATGGCAAGGATACTATTGCTCGAAGTTCAACATTGAAGCAGGTCCATACATTAAATACGTTAATCAATTTTCTGGAGCTCCTAAATGACTATATTCAGCGTTTTTTTGATGGCCCAATAAAATTCTTATTCAGGCAATAGAAAAAAGAGATGCATTGGCACAATTTATGTATGCAAGCTTGTTTGGGTGGCTCATAGAAAAAATTAACAATTCACTCGGAGCTGGCAAAAGGCATACTGGGAGATCCATAAATATTCTTGATATTTGTGGGTTTGAGTCATTCAAGGTCTGCAACTTGTATAATGTGATTACTGTTGCATCAGTTAATGTTTGCTGTTGTTATAATGGCTTCATGTTTTGACTTTCAGAAAAACAGCTTTGAACAATTTTGTGTGAATTATGCTGATGAGAGGCTTCAACAACATTTCAATCGGCATATATTTAAACTTGAGCAGGAGGTTAGTATTCATAGGGTTTAAAATTTCTTGGATATTGAGTGTCGATGCAAATGAGATGCAATTTGTCCTTGTATACGTTTGAATGGTTTAAATGCTTATTTCATTGTTTGAAAATAGGAGATTTTCAAAGACTTCCATCAATAATTGCTAGTAGAGACATAGCTAATGAAAAATATGTTTTTAAACTAAGCAATGTCAACTTCTTGAGTGCAATTCCCTGCATCTTCAAGGGTGTCTTCCTGCCCTCTACATATGTTATGGGTAAGAATTATATTCATGGATTGTCTCTGGTGCTTCACTTGTGGTTGTTTTAAGGGAGTCTTGCTGGCAGAGAGGTTCAACAGCTTTGCTGGAGTGAAATCAATCAAATTTCACAATATATTATATGTTATCAATTTTAAATTTGTAATGATTAACCTTAACTATTATAGTTGCATGTTACTTGTGGTATATTTTTATCTCTTATCAAGGAATTATTTGACATGTAGAGTTCATATTGCATGCTTAATTCGTGATGTCATTTGTTTTTTTTTTTTTTAATGCTTTTGATATTGCAATATCTATTATTATTTTGTCTCAGAGCTATGCAATGGACGGTGTTCATTGGATTAAAGTAGATTTTGAGGACAATCAAGAGTGCTTGGATCTATTTGAGAAGGTACTTATGGTTCACTTTTTCTATATGTTGATGTTCATTCTCGCTTCAACTGGGCAATGGCCCTTCCTTATGGTTTTGGTTACATTACATTAAGATCCACACATGGTGCATTTTTGCAGATTATTGCAAAAAACATAGATGTTAAGGTCCCAGGGCTGGCTGTTTACGTTATTACCTGTAAATTATGTTGTCATTATATAACCTGTAGTGATTTGTGAATTTTGTAGAAACCATCGGGGATACTTTCATTGCTGGATGAGGAATCAAATTCGCCCAAGGCCACTGATCTCACATTTGCCAACAAACTTAAACAGCACCTGAATGCTAATCCTTGCTTTAAGGGGGAAAGAGGGAGGGCTTTTGGTGTTCGTCACTTTGCAGGAGAGGTTAGTTGCTGCATCAGTTTTCAAGGAGCTACGAAAGTTAGTGGCTAAAAATGTCTAGATTAATAGTTTTCTTTTTAGAGTCTGGTAGATTTAGTTTACTTAGTTTGGCTGATTGTAGGCCTAAATAGCAACAAAAACATGTATGTAGAGGACTATGATATCACATGTTTGAATAAACCTGCTGGAAAACGCATGAACAAGATGGTGGAAGAAGCAATGCTACATGGGCAATTGTTTCTTCTATGACGTAGAGGAGAATTGAGTAATTGAATAAAGTACATAGTTTGAAAACGCCAACATGGTTTTTAAATCTGAAAATTTTGTTTGTTTGTTTAAGACCTTTTCCCCCTACATTATAATAGAGAATAGGATGACATAATGAGGGAAATGTTATTATTAATTACAATTGTAAATTAACTATAAGGGTCAAAGATAAATTAAGGATAAATTTATGAATTAAACTTAATTGATTTTATTTTGAATTATCCCTTTGTTAACTATCTTTTATTTTTGAATTTATTTGTCTTACTAATAGTTATCTGCTCTACTTTATTATTTCTATTTTGTTTTGCTTCAATTGGTATTAGAGTTAGGCTATAACTCCAGCTTTTCCTTTTGCCATCTCACGTATGGAGATGGTTTCAATGCTCATCACCTGTGATGTGCATGAATCTGGACAGTTCAGATTAAAATTGGATGTTCCATATTGAATATTATATTTGTGAGATTTTTGAAACTTTTTTATTTTATAGTTGCATATAAAAATAAAGATAATATTTCATTAGAAAAAATTATCATTTGAAAATTACAAATAAACTTCAAATTGGTATGGTTCTGATCTCATCGTGGTGATGAGCACCAGCACAAGACTATCTTGCATGGACCAAGACATGCACCACGACACCACGAGGTGTCTGTAAATTTTGCTAACAGAATGTGGACCATGGAATTTAGTCTTGGATTTATTCCTGTGATTTAACTAACACCTGAATCTATATTAGGTTTTGTATGATACAAACGGCTTTCTACAGCAGAACAAAGATCTGCTGTCTTCCGACTGCATACAACTCCTGGCATCATGTAGTTGTCGGCTGCTGCAGTTGTTCTCGAAAATGCTTAGCCAAACACATAAACAATTGAATTCCTTACAAATAGGCGCATTAGACTCACAGAAGCTGAGTGTTGGTGCAAAGCTTAAGGTATTCTTCCATTGTTCTTTGAAACTTGATTTTATGCCTTAATATTTGGGAAGAGATGATTGCATGTTCCCTTGTCAAGGAAGATTATCACTTGATGATGTGTGATATATGATTATGGAGTAGGAATTATTCTGAACATTACATTTTTTATAATGCAGGGCACTGAAATGTAAGACTGTATTAAGAAACTATTGAAATGATATAGTTTTGGGGATATATATATCTAATTAATGGCTTCCTTATTTTTAGGGTCAATTGTTTGAATTAATGCACCAATTGGAGAACAGCACACCTCATTTTATTCACTGCATAAGGCCAAATACTAAGCGGCTTCCTGGCATATTTGATGAAGATCTTGTCATGCAACAACTCCGTTGCTGTGGAATCTTGGAGGCTGTTAGACTTTCTAGGATTGGATATCCTATCCAAATGACGCATCAAGAGTTCGCCGAAAGGTAGTGGGAAAACCTCCTATAGATTTATGATTTCGTTGAAAGTTTATTTATGTTACCGCATGTATCCAGGTATGGGTTTCTGCTTCTGGAGACCAATGCAGTTCAGGATCCCCTGAGCATCTCAGTTGCTGTATTGCGACAATTTAATATCCCTCCTGAAGTGTATCAGTTCGGCTACACCAAAGTGCACTTGCGAAAAGGGCAGGTATGTCCAAAGAGGCTGAGTTAGTGCTTGAAGAGCTACTTTCTTCATCTTCATATTTTTCTGGTGTTAATTTATTATCAAAACCCCAATTTTTAGTTTCTCATCAGTTGGATATAAAGATTTGCTGATGTTATAGTAAGGGCCCATTTGTTTAAGCTTTTTTCCTGAAAAAATCACTTATTTTTTGAAAGAAAAAAAACACTTTTGCGGAATTTTACAATGTTTATTTTGCTTTTGAAAATAACCAGAATTTTTTTTTGGGGGGGGGGGGGATGTTTTATTACTTTGAATAGCTTTTGAAAAAAATAAGATGCAATAGATGGGGGAAAATATCATAAAAATATGGATATACGTAGAGATATCATAAAATTTGAAAATAACCAAATAACATTTCTTTTTAATGAACAGAGAAATACAATATATTATAAAATCTAAAAATCACTAAAAAAAATTTTATGATGTGACCAAACATAAAATAATGTTTTTTTTATAAAATCTCTATCCGATAAATCACTTTTCATAAAATCTGTAAACTATCTAAAAATCACCTACTTTTTAAGCTTCAACAAACGGGCCCTAAAGGCATCATTCATGCTTGAAATTGCGAGTGTAGTTTGCGGACAAAGGCAAAGCGTTGGAGATGTGCAGTCTTTCCAAAACCCATAGAGCTAGAATATAGTTGACATGGCAGTCAATATGCCACAAAATATATCAACTATTCATTTCCCTGCTACAATAAATAATAAGGATTCTATTTCTGAATCACAAATGCGTTTACGAAGCAGAATATCATGTTATATTTGTGAGATCAAAGATCAGTGGTTTAAATGTCTTAGTTCTGCTTGGTTTTAGATCTTTCATGTATAGCTTTCTCATATTTGGTTTTTCTTGTGTTATTTTTATTGTAGATTGGTGCATTGGAGGATAGAAGAAAACAGGTTATGCAGGGAATACTTCAGGTTCAAAAATGGTTCCGTGGTCATCGAGCCCGTCAATATTTCCATGAGCTTAAGAATGGGGTGACTACATTGCAATCATGTAATGCATGTCTGTCTTTCAATATTAATTGCATTTGCATCAAAGAACTCTGCTGATTCTTGCCTTTATGCATGCAAAATTCAACTAAACACATTCATCAATAAATGATTAATGCTATCTGTATAGAAAGTAGCCTACGCACAGTCTGGCTCCTATATTTTTCTAACAACTTCTTGTTAATGTTTACCATTAAAGACCTTCTCAATAGATATTTAGCCAAAAAAAAAAAATTATATGCCTGAATTGATGGCTTAAATTCTCGTTCTTAGCAATTTTTTAAATTGTTTTTACTGGGGTCCTTAATTATTTTTATTTGATGTTAATTGCTCACTTTGCAGTTGCTCATGGGGAAATTTGGAGGAGGAAATTTGGTATAGTTGAGAAGTCTTCTATGACTATTGATTGTAAAAATTTTGACGAGATTGAGGCAATCATACTGCTACAATCAGGTAAATGTGGTTCTGGTTATTTTCAAATTTACCCTCTGGAGGGAATTGTTATTGGGGTCTCATTATTCATGTTCTTTTCATGTAGTAATTCGTGGGTGGCTGGCTAGGAGGAAGAATGCTAGTGGTACGCATAAGATGAAGAAACACCTTAATAATGAAAAACTTCAGCGATATTCTCGTGTGAAGATGCTAGATATGAAGGTACTAAGCAGTTTTTTATTTAGATAAATGCTCTAAACTCCATTGTTATTTATGTTTTAACTTTCAACTTCATCTTTTTGGTTCTTTATAAGTTTTTATGCATTTAAATAGTAATTCCCTCTTTTTTATTCTCCTATCTGATTAACAAAGTCTGTTATTTTGGATATTTCCAAATTTGAAGCTGTCGATTTTCAGTTTTGTATCTTATTGATGTTACTCAGTACTCAATACTATTACCAAGACAAGTGATATGCTGAAGTTAAACCAAGAAGATGAGTTCTATCTAAAATTTTGTGGGCATGGCTTTTACAAAGTTTTCATTGAGTGAGATTACTTTGCCGTTGTGGTGTACTAGTGTTCAAAGGAGCAAATCTTAAAAAACTTTAGGTGTCAATTGTATTTTGTATTTTAAATTTAAATAGGACTGCAATATTGGGTGTATTCTTTTTGGAAATTGCATATTTGAAATTCGGATAGAGCAACGCTGATTTATTTCATCATGCTAATGTTATAGACGAGGCCAATAACAAATTCTTACATACCAAGTAGTTATACGGACAGAAGAGTTCTCGTAAGTGTAGGAAGCCAAGACCACGTGTTAGTTGGGGGGCACTATGCTAATATAAGGAACTTTTATGCTTCAGTTTTATTGATATATATTGTTAGAATACCACATATAGTCATATAGACTAGATACAAGTTCTTTTCCCACTACATATTCAACGGAGAAATTAATAACTAAGTTGTATGCATGTGAGGACAAGTTTTTTCCTTGGGGAGATCATCACAAATTTTCTGTTGCCACAAGTTTTTGCTGGTCAACTTTGATATATGAAGAAACTTTTCTTCTGTCTCATAAATCTTTAATTTGGAATGAATCATCAATTTTCTGGTTTGTTATGTTGCCCACTGATTTTGGCCTTATATTTGAAATGATACGCATCCTCCTTTTCATGGAGGTATGGTCTAAATTCAACTGTGTTCTCCCCTTGTGCTAATTGCAATTTCTTGGCTTAAATGAGGATTGGTGAAGAATTATTGTAAATGAATGTTTTGTATGTTGTCTCATGATTCTATAGAAGCTCCATCTGCTCAAGATGATAAAGGTTTTACTCTCTGGCCTTGCAGGAAGCATCCAGAGAGCAGGTTCAGAATTTGCCTTCAGCTTTAGAAGAACTCCGAAGGCGGGTGCTTAAGGCTGAGGCAACTCTTGAGCAAAAGGAAGAGGAAAATACTGCATTGAGGGAACAGCTGAAACAAAACGAAACAAAATGGATTGAATATGAGGCGAAGATGAAATCAATGGAGGAGACGTGGCAAAAACAGATGGCATCTTTGCAAGTAAGGCTCTTGATTGTAAACATTAATATTTAATGTGGTTTGCTTTTCATACTAGCCTTGCCTACTGTGGTGTTGAAATGATGATCAAGTCAAACTTTTAAATAGTTGATTTTGCGATGAACTCCCTCCAGAACTGTTAAATTAAAATGGATAGTTAGGCTATTTTAGCTCTAGATTTGTCGTTGATTGTAGGAAGGGCGCGGGGGATAAAAGTTATGCAGTACTTTACTGTTAAGTACCTTATTTAAAAACTACCAAAAAGGGTTCTTCAGTTAAAGTTAAAACATTACAAATCTAGAATTTTTAAATAGTATCATGAAAAATGTAAGATTACATGTTTTCCATAACTTATCTGCAAATTAATCTCGTTTTAATTAAAAATCATACTTACATGATGTTCTAATTGAGAAACTTGTTGGCGAAAATAAAATTATGAAGATATGCGTCTAAGATCAATTCAGCAAGAAAAATACTAAAGCTGAGAGATGTGTCAATTTTCTGCTTAATTTCTTATTGCAATCTCATTGCAGGTGAGTCTTGCTGCTGCTAGAAAAAGCCTTGCTTCTGACAACACCACTGCTTATCCTGGAAGACAAGAAGTTATGTCACCTCGCTACAATGATTCTGAAGATTTTAATTCCCTAATATCTCGAACTCCTGGTGGGAGCACACCTATCAAGTTTTCCAGCTCTCTCTCCGTCTCTGATTCTGGAGCGCCAGGAAGAGAAGTTAATGGTACCCTTTCTGCAGTCAGCAATCTGATGAGGGAATTCGAACAGAGAAGACAGACTTTTGATTACGATGCTAGGGCTCTGCTCGATGTCAAGGCCGGGCAGTCGGCTATCATGAATCCGGATGAAGAACTTAGGAAACTCAAACACAGGTTTGAGGGATGGAAGAAAGAATACAAGTTCAGATTACGGGAGACAAAAGCAAGGCTTCATAAAGTAGGGAATTCAGAAGGGGAAAGGAGCCGTCGGAGATGGTGGGGGAAGTTAAGCTCAAGAGCCTCATAGTAATCAATGTTCCACCATTCACTTGCTGGAAAAGCTCAAATATTAACTTGGTGAGGAAAAAGGCAAATGGAATGTTTGTCAGTAATGTTAATGAATTGTCGGCATCATTACTACTGGAGACGTGTTTCTTCTGTATCTACCAATTTTGTTACTAACTAGTGGAACCTGGAAGTATTGATAGGTTGTGCATAGTTATATAGACTTTGTAGGACTACATAGGTTTGTATTTGTTGAACAGTCTCTGGTCATAGGTTTGTTTCACAGTCTAGTTATTAGCTCATGCTGTCATGTATATTCTGTTGTCACAGATTTCAGTTCTGAAGATATTAATAATAAGCGTTGATATCTTCCTTCCAATCTATTCGTTCATGTTCTGTCGTCGCAAATCGCAGCTCCCTTTTGCAGGTGTTGTATACTGATCCAAATATCCCTTAAAATGTCATCAAAAATGTATATCCCTTGAGATGGCTGGCAATCAAGCAGTTAATTTGGTTTCCTCCCTTAAGTGATTTTACGTCTCATGTGCAAAAGAATCGTTTTTTTTTTTTTTTAAGAAGTGATTATGAGGTTTGCCAAACAAGCACTTAGTAATATAAGATGATAATGTGATATTTTGATTGGTTTTATTAATTAAACTGTAAATATTGTTGGACAGTAATGCACGAGACTGGGGTAATGTGAGGTTTTCTTTTGGACAAGGGTAATGTAAGATATTTGGAAGTTACAAATTCGTGCATGCAGAGCAGTATTTTAGTGGAATTGCCTTTTCCTTTTGTTTACCTAAAAAAAGAATTACTTTTTCATACCACTTTTTTTTTTTTTTGAATAAAAAAGTAGGTACTAGAATCTTGACATAACAAAATGGAATTGAACCTGTGACTGCGACTTCCAATTGATAGAAAACTTAATTTCCGTTCTTACTTTTTAAAACTTGTTTAATTCTTTGCTTGTAACACATTTTTAATTAATATGAAATATGAAATTATTTTCTTATTTTATATTCCTTTTCTTCCGGGATTTCTCATTTCACTTGTTAAATCAACTTAACGAGGTACCTTCTCCATGCAAAGGAAGCCCAGCAAACAAACGGAGCACACTAAGAATCTGAACTATATTAGGACCAAGACATAAACTACACATCTTACAACATCAGAGTCCTTCCATTCACAACCTTACACACACACACACGCACTAACACGGTCAAACCAAATTTAAGACCCAGGCACGAACTTGGTGGCATAGACCCAAGCATTATTAGCCACAGGGTTATCAAGGTGATCCAACAGATTCTCCAATGGTCCTTTTCCAGTAACTATGGCTTGAACAAAGAAGCCAAACATGGAGAACATGGCCAACCTGCCATTCTTGATTTCCTTGACCTTGAGTTCAGCGAAAGTGTCAGGGTCATCGGCGAGGCCTAGAGGGTCGAAGTACTGGCCCCCGGGGTAGAGGTCGTTGCCTTCTCCGACACCGGGAAGACCGTTGATGCGGAAGCCTTCAACCAGACCCATGAGGATCACTTGGAAGCCAAGGACGGCGAGGATGCTCTGGGCATGAACCAGGTTGGGATTACCTAAGTAATCAAGGCCTCCTTCTGAGAAAATCTGGGCTCCGGCTTTGAACCACACTGGCTCCTTGAAGTCCACTCTCACCCATTTTTCTAGAACCTCTGGTGTGATGCATCCCAGTGCTCCTAGCATCGCCCATCGCCCATGAATCACCTTCATTCAAATTAGAGTCAAACTCTAATTCATCATCCTCTCAAAAGTACAAGAATACTATACTGATACTTCATCTAGTCCTAAAGTAGCAATAAATGACATTTTTGTCTGTTTTGTAGTTGAGTGATGACATGGGTTTTCTAGTGCTGGGAATTTTCGTAGGTTATGAAGGAAGAAGCAGCGTGTTGAAGCATCAAGCATTGAAGAAGGAAGAAGAAAATATATGGTTACCTCAAGAGCTCTGTTCCTAGCAAATGCTTCTGGGTCAGCAGATAAACCAGCAGTGTCCCAGCCATAATCTCCAGGGAATTCCCCAGTCAAATATGAAGGGGTTTGAGCTGAAAAGGGACCCAAGTATTTCACTCTGTCTGGTCCATACCACAACTCATTTCCCTGCTCACAAACACAAACCAGAACCTCAATACCGATATAGATTCACAGATATCAAACATGATATGAATATATATAGTTTGATTTAGTGCTTACTGCCTCATCTCTGATCTTAACACACTCACTTATCAGATAGATGGAGCATAAGGCATCTGTGTCTGAGAATTTGAGAAAATTTTCCAAAATTCAAGCATGAATATACTTCATATGACAAAATATTCAGGTGTCTTTGAAGTTACCATGGTGTATTTGCCATTTCCGAGGGGGACAACATCTCTGAGAGAGTTGGAGTTGGATCCTCTGGTTTGACCCAGAAAAGGGGAAGGTTTAAGAACAGTGCTAGAGCTTGCGGTGGCTGCCATGATCGTGGATGCCATGACGTGCGAGCTTTCTCTTCTGGTAGAACTGAAGTTGAGAGCTTGATGGATTAAACAGAAGATATTATAAAGCGGGTTGTGGAAGTTTGTAGAAAGCGTCACATGTTATGTAGGGGAAGAGAATCGCAGAGACTGGTGGTGAAGAAGAGAGGAGGGAGAAAGTCGTGGTGGGGATGGCGTTGTTTCAAGCAACCAATGAGAAGGCTTCGAAGGATTTGAAGTATCTCCAACTCATAATCTTTCTATCCCCATTTTATCTCTGCAAATATGGTAATGTGGGCCAATATGGTAACGCGGGTCTTCAAAGAAGAAAAATATAAATGGAAAAAAATGTAAATTGCGGTGAGCGTGGATCGAACACGCGACCTTCAGATCTTCAGTCTGACGCTCTCCCAACTGAGCTATCCCCGCAACGCAACTTTTGGGAACCCGTAACATTATATGATGATAATAAACACACATATCGCTCCCCACAAGCATCCCTTTCGAATTTACAATTTTACATAAAGCCAAGAGTGATTTTGATAAAGCTTTGAAAACAACAAAAATGACTAAAAATTCAATAATTTAGGGCTTTATTTCTCTTTCTTTTTTGCGTGACCCAAAAAATACATTTTACCAGCAACAGTGTATGATATCCCCGGCTACAACCTAAAAATCATTTTTGGTTCAAGATTCATAATTTAGATAAATACCTCTACTTCGAAACTACCATATGGAAACTTGGATTCTAAATATTTTCAATGCAGAGAAGTCAACTTTATCATTATCTATGTAATAATTCAACATAGTAACAATTAAGTAAATAGTATAGTTGATTTTTTTATATGAATTAGAGCCGACAGTTCAAACATCATTGAATAAAAAAAAATCTTTTCCTTATTGAGACAATAATTTGATAATTTAATAAGCAGATACTAATTGTAATGTACGAAATAATAGATATACCTTATTACTATAAAAGAAGACCTAAAAAGTGTTCCAAAAAAAAATGTTTAGTATCTACTGCCTCAGTTAAAAGTTAGTTTGACATTCAATTTAATTATAAATATAAAACACTAGTTTACTTTATATCATTTTTATCTATTTTTTTCTGTGATAATCCTTGTAATTGTATTAGTTATATATGTTAAATGTCTCATTAAATGATAATTTTAATTAATATATTTGATTAGTCAGGGTATTTTAAAAAAGACAATACACATTTAACATAAATAATTAAATTAACTAATTTTTTAAATATATTTAATTTAGTCAACAACTCAACTAATTCTTATATTACCTCTGGTCCTAATTATAAGAGCTAGTTGACTGATTTGAGGAGATTAAAAAAATAAGTTAAATTAATTATTTACTTATTTATAATGAATATGTGTTGTCTTTTCTAAAATATCCTCGTTAATCAAGTATATTGGCTAAAACTATCATTATTAAAAATAATTTTTTGAAAAAAAATACTTAAATATAAGAGAGAAAATGGATTGAGGTCTTATATTTAAAATCAAAATAAAAATTAAATACAATCTTATATTAAAGACCGAAAGTAATATTAAGGAATGAAAATAGTAAAATTTGAATACTTTGTCTGAACCCAACTCCAACGGTAAGCTGTCCTACTTTCTAGTGATGTCATTTCCGCTCTGGATTAATTTAAATATAAACCGCATTCAATCCTAACCCTCCAAAACGATAGATTTCAATCGTACACTAATACTCCTCCTTTCATCCAACGGCGGTTAGACCTCTCTATAAATTCACTCTAGCGTTGCAATGCTCGACCGTCGTTTTGTTTTCCATTTCTCCCGCTGCGTAATGCTCTCTTCCATAAAAGAGCAGAGAGGAAACCAAGTTTAGTACAGAGGATGTTGAGACTGTTTTTCGGGCTCTCAATGAAGCATTGGAGTTTCTGAATCGACAAGAAGATTTGAAGCTGTTTCGCAGAATCGTTAGGTCATGGAAACTTCTAAGGAAGAAATAGTAATCAAGAGGGCGGATGATCACTGGGCTTTCCTGGTAATCCCTTGATCTTTGTTGTCTTTTTCAAGGATTTTGGTTCACCTGTTTGATCCTTTGATTCGTTTGGATCTTTTTAGGATGAGTAGATATCTGAGATTCTGTCTTCTTTGATTGCCATTTTGTTATGCTATAATCTCCATATCAGCTCTTTTACTTAACGGAAAAATCATTACCCTTCGTCATTTTAGTTCCTTTCTGACATGTTGGTTTCGTGTGATATCGTCGTAGTTTGCATTTTGTTGTTTTCTTTTGTGAATAGGAATAACTAATGAATCTGTTTGCTGTGTGATTTGATCATTTGAAGTATCAATTTGGCATTTGCATTTCTTGATTGTAATGCTTAATGCTTGGATTCGCCTCTTATTGCCTACTAGTCTGTCTCTTGTTTTTCTGCTGCTAGGGAAGTGCGTCAAAGGAAAACAAGTTGAAATTGACATTTTATCTTTGGTTTCTTCTCCTGTGGACCCTACAAGATTCAGTTTGTTAAGTCTTTTAATTTCGTTCATTTTTCGGGCAGATATGAAGTAGTGCTCGATACCTGAGACTTGTACAACATACTCTAACCATGTCGTTCTCTACTTGCATTTTTACTTATTATTCTCACCGTATCCTCATATTCTTGTCTGATATTCCAGAATGTCTACTCTTTCTCACAAATCATGGCTTATTGTTGCTTTTTGGTGCTTGACATACAGGAACATATTGAAGCCCCAATGTGGGCGGATTTGACTTTAGAAGCAAAGTCTGGGGTCGAAGACATGTGAGTTTTGTACTTGTATAGATATGATAACAACATGTTGCTTTTATTTACTAAGATTGTCAAATTTCATTCATTTTATTCTACCTGTCTTTATTTATGTTTTGTTATATTGTAGAAATGATGACTGGTTCAGCGTGAGCCACCTGTAAGTTTCCTTCTTCTTCTCTTTTTTGCTCCAGGTTTGGCATATTCAGCATTAGCTTATAAAACGAAGTTTGATTATAGTATTGGTATCAACTCATTTTCAGGTTCCACCAGTGGTCTTCGCATGAGTTAAAATCTAAATTTTCCAAATCTGGTGAGGAGATAGTGACATCTGCATTTGACTCACAAGGACCACCTTCACCAGAACTTCCATCTTCAGTCTCAAGATCGAGAGGAAAACACTTTAAGAGCAAGAAGTGGGGTGTTAATCTGGATGTTTCGTTTGACAAGAAGCTTCCAGCTAGGATGTGCTTCCCGGAAGTGTCTGGCTTTGGTCCCGAAGTGAAACCCAAACTAAATGCGACCAAGTCAAAAGGAACGTCAAGTGCAAAATCTATGGCAAATGGATATGCCTTATCGAATTGTACCAAATCTATGGCTGGCAGGAGCCTAGCGATAAGGTCAGGTTCTATGAATAATAAGGCCGGTGAGAGTAATTCAAGGAGTACAATTACATCTGAGTATACTCAGGGACAGGAGAATTTGACGGAGGTATCTAGTAAGCCATATGATAAGAAAAGCCAACTTTCTTTCAGGAGTACTACTAGTCTTAGGAAAAGCTGTGTTGTGAAAAAAACATTAAGAGTGGATATTAATGGTGATAGCAAGAAATCAAGAGCGCGTAAATCATCTTCCGGAAAGTCTAGTGTTGGTTCATGTTCAAACCCTGTTTCAGATGGGAAAGATGTAGCCATTGTGAATCCTGCAGCTAAGAACCGATGCAAGCTTTCTAACGCATCCAGGAAATCTACTGTTCATATTGAAGCACCGAAACTTCTTAGCAGATTGGGAACTACGGCTGAATTTGCAAAGCCAACTTACCATAAAGCTACAAAATCAGTGGTGAGAGGCTGCATTGCCCTTTGTCACCCATACTTTAGAATGTATAATAAAGCAATCCTTTGCCTGAGCTACTATAGCTGGCTCTTTGGTAGGTCAACTCTAATGTCTTATGTTTGCAGTACAGTCTACCAATTCCATGATGTAAATCTGCTTGATCAGGATTCTTTTCTTCTCTTCTGTTTTCTTTGAAAGTTCTTTAATGAACCATTAGCAATTTCTTTCTTAATAATTTTCAAATGAAGCTAGAGACGAGTGTTTCAAAATTATGCGATAATTTAATTAGAATTTAGATGTACCTTTTGCAGGCCCCACATCAGATTTTACCTTCAAGGGCTTGCTTACCTGCCAATAAACAAAATTCTTCTACTAGTGCTACAAAGGAGCAACTAGAACATGGCAAGCCTAACGGTTTGGCTGGCAAGAGAAATGAGAACATTGCAAGTTTTGTGGCAGTACATCAGAAAAGCAGTAAAAGCGATGTTCTTACTGGGGGCTTCAACGACCAGAGAATCACAGAACGGAACATTCTGCGGAAGAGTAACAGTGCAGGATCAACTGTTTTGAAAGGACAGGTTTTAAGCTCTCTATTCTCTTGTTTTAATAAAGTCATCTGATTTTCTTATTACGACCAAAAAAGTCATCCAATATCATACTTTTGTGGTCTATCAAGGCGTATGATGTTTAATTCACAGTAAACTGTAAAGAAATTATATTGGAGACTCTAGAAGTGATCTTGAAAGGTAGTGTGGCATATTAGTAGAACATTGATCCTCTAAATTGTTCAGCGTGAACCATGCGTGTAACGGTGTAGTATCACTGCTACCTCGCCTTAATTTCAGTTTTTCAAAAGTTTTGGTCTGCCCTTTTATTTTTTCTCCTCTAAGTTGAGAATAGATTATCATATTCTATTAATCTCTTATATTTCAGCTTTTTCACCTGGATGCAGCGTTATCCTCTATCATTTCGTTAGACTAGTCGGGCTTAAGAATAAAGTGAAATGCGTTTGACTGTTTCATTGCCGTTTCCTCAAGGAATTCCCCCTACAGTTTCTCCATGCAATATTTCTTTGATGGAAATTTCGTGACAACATTTTGCCAGAATTGATGCATTCTGATTTTGTGACTTGATTATAAAGTTTCTTTTTGGTGTTTTTAAGTTGTTCTTTTGCATTTTTGTCACGGCATGTTTTCGAAGTCTCATCCAAATATGTTGTTGCAGAGAAAAGCTCCCCGAGATGCGACGAATACAAACAACCTAACCAGAAGGATCTACTTTAGATAAGGTAGAGCCCCGTACTGACTTGTGTGTGTGTATAGTGCAAGCTGAGTATCGTTCCTCAATATTGATTGGGCATATTTGTAAATTGACACTTTTCGGCCCACGTCCCGTAGTTTGGTGTTAGACTTGGGTTGCTTTTCAAGCCCATTTCACACATGCTCTCCCCAACATGCCGTTTTATGGCTCATCTTGCGCCCTAAAACGAATTAGAGGCCCGTTCATATTAATAAAGGGCACATGCATTCTTCAGTGGGGAGGATCATAAAGGGAAGAATCTTGCCCAGGTTCAGGATGATTAAAAAAAATTGCTTTGTCACATTGTGAGCGCTATTTCAAAAACCAGATAGCACAATCAAATCCGTTCACGAACTGTTTTTGTGGATGAATAATTTTGAATCAACTTTTGAGCTAGAAATCGGAGTTTCATTTTTTTCTTTTTTGGAATAGGAAGTTCAAACTCAAGCTTTAAAAAAGGAATGATGTCAGTTGAGACAAGGCTTCAACCCCCATGTTATTTAATGATCTGATAATTTATTGCCTATGCATATACATATTTTTTTAATTTAATTATCACATCATTAGGTGGCTATAAACCTATGACCTGATGACATTTCTAATTCAATATATAGTTTGGTTTTTAAAACATTGATTGCAAGGAACTAACATTTTCACTAAATTCAACCCTGTTCGTATTAAATCATGAAATAAGGTGAGAATTAAATCATTTAAAAATGATACAAGGATTAAAAATGTCTAGTCCCAAACCAGAAAAACAAATTGAAATTTTTATGAAATTACAAAAACAATAATTATTTTTTGCCAACGAAAAACAATAAATCATTTAAACTTGATAAACATCATGCATCCGAGTTCTAACCATTTAAATGTTTCTGGAGTATGAATCACTAGTAAATTTCGCGGGAGGGCGGAGAGAGCATGTAGGATAACCTAGACTACTAGGGTTCACCCATTCCGTTTGTTACTCTCAACTGTGCCCAGCCCCTTCATCACTTGATTTCCCGCTACTAGACATAATCAAAAAGTTTTATACAAGGTAATTTATCGGGTAATTAATACTATGTATAGCGAGCAAGACCTTTGGGAAATAGTTAACCCGATGATCACCTTCTTAAAGCTCCATAGTTTTTTGTTACCTGCAAGAACAAAAGCTGTCATTTCCAGGGTAAAAAGATGAAACACCGAAATCTCAAGAAAGCATGTTATTTTTATGTACCCCAATAAAACAAAAAGGCAAGTGTCATATTCTGGACATGAATGACCAATCTTAACCCAACGGCATTTAATTCTTAAATCAAAAAATGCATTTAACTCTTGCTAGAATCACCAAAATTAAACTTCCCAGTTCCCTAATAATAGGGCAGGCAATCCCACTAAGTGTAGTACATTGCACGGATGAGAACAGAAAGTATCATACGTTCAATATTTTGACATGGACAGCCTTATTAGTATTCAGAGACATGCCAGTTGGCATAAATATTGTGATCCTTGCCTCTCAAATCTAAAGTCAAATACTAAGGCTCTACTTGGTCCAACCTACAAGTACCATTGACAGCATACAAGAGTTGTTATAAAGTAAATGAATCAGAAAACCACTTTGGAACAACATCCTTGAGGAGAAAAGGGGGAGAACGAAAGGAGGGGGGGGGGGGGAACCAAATTTTTGAATAGTCATGACATGATGGCAATATATAATTGACCGGAAAGAAATCAAGAAACCATAAGAAATACATACCCGAGGTAACTTATTCAATTTCTTTCTAACATTGTCTTCGTCATCGTCATCGTCATCATTGTTCATGAACATTTTATGGATTGAAGAGTTATCTGATTTCCTTCCTCTTTTAGAAGCCTGATTAGATCCTCTAGCTCGTCCCTTTGAAGCAGCCCTTTTCCTTCCTGGGAGCTCCCCTTCATTTTCCTTCGCAACAAAGAAAGAAAGAAATTCATTTTACTCAATATGTTTCAAAGACGAATCATTGTATCAGGCTCACAAAATTGTCATATCACAAAGTATTGGATCGGCACATAAGGAATCATCATCAGCAATGTGCTTCAATTTTAAAAATTAAAAAAAAAGGAGTCGGCCCATACCGAACTGCCATCAATCTCTTCTACTTCATTTTTTCCAGCATCTTCACTAGAAGCAGAATCATCATCAGCAACACTCCCTGATGCAAACCTGCTTTAACAAGAGAGCCTCAGGTACCACAAAAACAAATGGTTGACAAGAACAGAGGACAAATCATCTTAAAATACTAAAATATAGATATACAGGAAGACTTCATGCCCAATCATGGATCTATCTGGCGCTATCGATTTTTTTCATGCTTGAGTATCATATATGCCTTCATAAGCTGGTTTACATACAAGCCACAACAGGGACACATGAAGCAAATCAAAATCAGCAAGAATAGACTGAGACTTGTACTGATCGATATTCATTTCTCCTTTGAAATTACTACTTCGTTGCAAAGAATCAAAGAAATTTGAATAATCCATCTATCACTAATAAACACCTCTGAGATGAGCGAAACCCTAATGATGCATCAAGAGTTGTCTGCTTCATGGCGCTGGAACTCCTACCCCTGCCCCTGCCCTGCCCCTGCCCCTCCCCCTCCCCCTTGAAGGAGTTTGAGATGGTCCAGAGGACCCTTTACGACCTCTAGTGCTTGGCTTTGAGCCAGATATCTGCATGGCATCTTCATCATCACTAAAGGAAACTGCACTTTCCAATCCAGCAGCACTTCTGCTTCGGAATTCCTATATAGAGTGGAAAAACAAGAAGCTAAGAATACAAATGACGGCAAACACTGGCGCCTAAAATGATACTTTATCATCACCTCTCAAATACCGGGTACCATGTGTAATATTGGGATTACCTCCGATGGTTGAGCACTATAAGTGAACTGTGTAGGATCCTTGCCACGGATGGATCTCTCCTTGACACGTTCCTGAAGAGAGAAGTGAGGAAGAGCATCAATAAGGTCAGTCACAAGAACTATTGGTGAGAGGCCATAGTAACCAAAGGGAACTACTGTCCACAAAATCATACTGGAGTTGGAGACAACTTAATTCCAAAATCAAAAAGAAAAGGATAGACTTAATTCCAAAATCAAAAAAGAAAAGGCGAACAAGGAGTCTTCTAACCTCCAAGCACTCTCCAACTTTAACAATCAAATCTTCCTCTTCAAACTTCACAGTGTCAAGATCCTTGGCAATTTTGTTCTGCATAAGCACAAAACTAAGTCATCAATGCCTCAAAAACGGAGAAGAGGAGGGACAAGAAACATATATCCATTACACAATGCGAGCAGGAACAACAAAAATAAGATGCAGATCCTTGGTAGGCAAGATGATGTAACATACAGGGAGGATGCTCCAAAATTAAGGTAGCACAGACCACAGACATATCAAAGATTAATTTAATACAGAATGCTCACTCGTGTTTCATCAAGATTGTATTTCACACAATAATAGAATGCCATTTTCTCATCCTTGTCCACGAAATCGTGTAACGCAATGCCCAAATCATTGACAGGAAGTATCTCTGTTTTCTGCAAAATCATTAGACAGCAGATTTGTCAAAAACATATAAGTAAATTGATCTGGTACAATTTATTATCAACACAGAGAAACCTGTTAAAGTAGAACATCCAACAGGGATGGGATTTTAATCTTATCCAGTCAGAGAATTTATTTTCATATTATGAAGAAAACTTATTGATGATAAGATAGAATACAATAAATATAGTAGAGTTTATTATTGTTTAGGAGTTTTGTAGTTCCCTCATCATCTTTAAGAGCTTATCTTGTCATTCATCACTATTGTTGTATTATAGATCAGATGAAGGTCGCAGAGGAGCCACCGTAGCCCATTATATTTGTCATTTCTGTCCTATCCTAAATATTACAATCAATTTTTATTAACTTCAATGCAAGCATAGGTGAATCCTGATACCATGAACATTGTCTACCATATCTCTTAATCTCTATTCTCCACACAACCAGCAAAGCCCTGACCAATATGGAGAGAGGTAGAAATCTCCTGTGTTAACAATGTCTTTTCTTCTTTCTATTATTTAAGGAGAATATATTACTCCTCCTAAGTCCCCCCTTCCAAATTTTTTTCCTGAAAAAAGAGAAAACAGGACGAAAACCAAGTCTGAACAAATGTTTAGACCAAGATTCTAGAGAGATATATAACAATACAGTGCACAGACTAGTCAATCTGCGTGTTGGTCCTTTGTTCAAATATGAATTATCTATAAAAGCCAATAACAGAAAAGGCTAAAAGGCTTAATACCAGATTATTTTCAGTAACCAATGCTTCTATGGTTTGCTGATTTAATTCTTCTGGACGGAGTAGTTCTGAATCACCAATTTTACCTACAGTTGAAAGAACCAAACAAAAATATCTGAAGGATATACCATATCAAGATTTGGAAAGCAGAATAGCAAATGGAAAGTTCACCATGTTTTCGCCATCTTTCCAGCCTCAAACAAAATTATAATCACTTGCTTCAAGCATGTCACTTGACTAACTTGCATTATGTTTTGTAATTTTCCATAGAGATTGTAAATTTCTTGTATATGACTATGATGGAGACTAAAATGGTATGGGATGTCTAAGTTCCACATTAAGTAGCATGGGATGTCAAAGTACACAACATAACTATAGCTTCCACAAATAAGAAAATCTTAGGAGGATGGTCTTTCTGTTCTCTCCATTGCTGTTTTAGTCACATTTATCATCACAAGTGAAGCCCACTGTCTATCAGAACAAATCATATGAACAAAGAGTGACACCGGGATTCAGAGCTAAACCATTTGAGAGGTTAATTCAATTTCTTTAAAAAGGGTTATAGCAAAAAAGTAGCTAAAAAGAAAAGAACATGCATGCATCATGCTGTATCAAAACTATTGAGCATAATGAAAGATGATTATCAAGAATTCCAAAAGGAAAATATTTTTTTAAGGTGTACTACTAATACACAATCAAGTACCATAGATGGGACTTGTTGAATTAATATGAATAAAAAGAAAATACCTTGCCCTTTTGATCATATGAATTAAAAAGAGCAAACAAAAACAATCTAAATTACCTTCGCCCTTTTCCCTTCTTGTAGACTTTGAAAATATGAGAATGTCTTGGGGATTTGCAACCTAAGATAATGAGGACAAATCAACAGCAGAAAAAAATATCTACCAAGAATTAGTAGTAGTTCACTATCAACAGGTAAACAGAGGTACCTTCCCCACATATTTCTGCCCAAATCTTTGAGGATTTATAGTCATAAATCCCGAGTAGTCTACCTGCAGAGTCATATTGTTTAGGTTAAGACTGTTCGGTAAAAACATAGTGCCATCTGAAGCAGTAGGTGTCCATTATAGCCAATGGACTGACTGTAGCTCAAATAAAAATTTGTAAAGCTAAATTTCTTAGAGCCCATTTGGATCAATTGCATACCTCTGTATGACTGTAATGCAGTGGATTACAATGTAATGACATGTAATGCTCATTACCATGAATCCGTTTGGTTTGATATCTAAGAATGTTGCAGAAAATTTAATTCTTATATTTAATCATATTAAAAACAGAATGTAACGACCAATATGTCCCTGCACAATTTCTTCCTTCCTCTTCACCTTTCCTCTGATTTTCACCCATGGCAAAAGCAAGGTTCATATGCAATCTCCCTTTTCTTTTTAACAATCAAAATTCAAATGCAGCACCCCATAACATACAAATCAGATCCGAAAATCAAATTTTTTATTATTGGCCAATAATCTGAAACATAGATATGAAAATCAAATCTGAAACAAAAACATAAAACTTGTTGACAGTAGGTGTGACCATGGAAGTAGGAGATGGAGATGTGGTCGTGAGTTTTTGGTGCTACTCGAATCTGAAGAGGCCAATACTTGTATTTTCAAAAAGGCCGACATCAGAGACGATAGCTCTACCAACACTGGAGGAGGAGGAGAGCAATGGTGGACATGAGTGATGCTAGCAAGGGATACCTTCATGGCCTCAAACTTGGTGGAGGAGGAGGGGCATGATGTCGACATGGACACCAGCAAGGTAGGGAAGGAGGGAGGGTGGGGGCAAAGATGAAGAGAGGGAAGGATTTGATTTGAGCTATTTTGTGCCTTTTCATTTTAGATATTAAGGGTAAAAGACATTTAAAATATTGTCATGGATGGTAATACTCATTCATAGGGAGTGAGGTATGAATGAGTATTACCAAATTTTTGGCAATCATCATTGCTATTGCAAACTTCATTACCTGGCTAAAGAGCAACCAAACAATCTACTTATAGTAATGTAATCATGATTATCATTACAGACATGTAATGGGGTTGAACCAAACATGCCCTTACAAAGGATTTGTGAAATTGAATTCACGTCACAATTATTAAAAAAAAGAAGCTAAGTTGCATTAAATTGCCCTGGAATTACCAATCAGTGTTTGAAGATAACCAGCTTTTCTAAGAGTGTATCATAAAAACCAGTGAGCAGTAAATTAGGAAGAAATGAGCATAGAGGTAAACTTAAAGATGAAATCCATACATGACAATTACCTTGATACGTATTAGTGGAAGTTTAAGTTCTGCTCTATTGACAGCCTTCTTACTTGATTTCTCTAGCAGCTTTTCAACCTGGATCATTATAATATTATTCCTATAAACTAGCTAGAACATTACCCATAGAAAATGGGAAATCTCAAGAGCAGTTACTTTAGCCAAAAGTTGAATGAAACACACAGGGAAAAACAAAACAAAATTGTTTTGGTCCAGACCACATTTTGTAGCAGAATGACAAATTCTAATATAATCGAATGACCAAGCTTCATCTCAAAATAGCCTTCTTATGGAACCAGAGAAGAAAACATCTATTTACAAGGAACTTGAATTGCCTTTTCCGTAAAGCCTTCATGAGTAACCAAAAGGCACTAGGAGAAAATTTAATTAAGAAACTAAAATTACCATCAATATTAAGAAACCTACATACCACTTTGTCCAAGTGTTCAAGAACTGAATTTTGATCATTGGGATCAATATCAGGCTCATCCTTTAATATAATCTGCAACATGAAGTTTTAATTGATTTATGAATAGCAAACAGACAGTCTCAATTCTCTTAATTATGTGTTTTTTAAAACAGAAAGAAAAATGCGATACCTGTCCTAATCACAATGGATAATAAAATAAGATCAGTTATCATCTTACCTCAGTATACTCAAAAGGCCTCACAGACGTGAGAGGTATTTTAGTTGGACGATACTGATTGCCCTATCAATAATAATCAATTTAAGCATTTGAAATTTATAAAAAATAATATAAAGCATGATAGCTGCTCTTATGAAACCATTTTCTAGATTCTTCTACATCGACAACCTTTATTTCCAGAAGAAGTACATGTTTTGGTTTTGATTCTCCATCAATCAGTGATGTGGCAACTGAAGAACCTGGTTGTGAAATATGAAATCCCATCCCGGGAACTTCCTAAAGAAAAATCCACATTAAGCTAAACAGTGTAATACCATAATGCATATATGGGCGAATCTTCAATCAACGCACCTGTGGGTCAATCAAACATTCATGTTCATGCCCCCACACAATGAAGTCCAGGAAACGAGGCAGAAGGTGCTCATTTATTGCATTTTTTGGATTCGCTTTCACTCTGCATGCCATGTTTGAAAATTGGATCAACCTCCAAGTAGATTAAAATCTAAAACTTAGATGCTGTAAACAATGCACACAAACAAGGTTCAAGCACAGTAAGCAGATGCAGATCTCATGCAGATCAATATCTTACCATGAAGCACAACATTTGATGGAAACTATTAAAGAGAACAAACATAGAGGCAGGTACAAACCTGTTCTGATGAAGTACCAAAATGTTAAACCAATCAGACACCTGACATCCTTCCTGAGATTCAGGCCGCATCCACTGCACAGCATGTGGTGTCTGAAGGAAAAATACATAAGTGAGCACAATTAAATCCACAGATGAACTGCTTGAAAGAAAATTTTCTCTGAGCATACTTGAAACATCCTATTGAGCCTTTCATCTCTAATGTTCCCCAGACCATACAGAGCCACAGCTGTTGAACCCTGCAACTCGTGGAGATATATCTCAGAAGTGGTTAACACATTGGAAGGTTCTAGTTTTCTCATTATTCTAATGAATGACAAAATTACACTAAAAGCCACCGCATCCTGGTGGTAATAATCAAAACGAACCTTCTTGATAAGAATAGGGTAGACATTAATCTGTCCAACACCAGAACCACCGAGAACAGATTTTCCAAAGTAGTTGACAAGATTACACGCTGAAAGAATATCAACTGCAGAAAGGTTGTCCTGTCATAATCATTTAGTGAGGAGTACATATTTCTTGTAGTAAAGAGTACCTCTAGACTCACTATATCATACATTCACTAATTTATTAATTGAAAGTAATAGACATCAAACTAGATTTCCTAATCCATAAAAATATTTAAGGAAATATAAACTTAGACGTACAAAAATAGTATGACACAAAATAATTGTATAAAAAAGAAAAAATCAATTACTATTACTAATAATTATTATCACCAATAAATTAATAAAGGTTGCAAGAGGAAGACAAGGGTTTTAATTTTTAAATGAAATATGACCAATACTTTTTGGTTTTTGATCAACCACATATATACCATCAAACAAAGTATTCAATTTCATAGTATGCAATCTTCCACTTTCCTTTCACATTCAATCTAACAACACAATTTGAAATACATGTGACATGATATCATAATGATATCTCCCTAACCGACAAGCCAAAATAGATTATCACACTATCAGCAAATAAGAGGTTTTTTTCCAACTATAATAACTTTGAAAAGTTGCATATGCTATCTGTATTTAACTCATTGCAGCAGAAGAGATCAATAACTTAATGTCCTAACTAAAATTTTTAGGAAGAAGTGCTAAAGAAAGTATCCAAATAACAAAGTCTTCTTTTCCTAGTATTGAAAATGGGATAATGAGAAAATGAATGTCTATCCACAAAACTATTTATTGCCTACACAGAACTATAAAAAGAAAGAAACCACTTGTAATCTCACAAGTCCAACCCCTGGCGGGAGATCATGACTCCTTTCGTACTCTCGCTGTTCCTGGCCCCTCACAAAAAAATAACAGTTGAGTCGTGCCTTTCAAATGACAGTGAATGATACTTGTCCTTCTTCCGACAGGCAACAACTACGTATTATGTGATTTTCAAATTTCACCAACAAAATTTCTGAATGATGAATAACTAAAACCTTAAAACCATTATGCCTTTTACAATCAAAGGTCAACATTCAAAGAAAGGAGTGCTCCAATGCAACCAGTACCAGAACAATCATTTTGAACAACTGTGGAGGACTTTCTAATGTGTTGTTTTGCTTCCGGCCTACTTAATTGGTCAGATTCAAATGCAACATTGAACCCCCAACTCAAGGACACCAGATTTACAAAATATTGAATGATGTTTGGTTGTTTTACAATTATTAAGGTTTATCAGTAAGAAAGCAGAATAGCATCCTGTCGAAATCTTGTATTTTGTAAAAATAAGAAACAGAAAAACTTTAAGCAAACGACAATAGCCCTGACAATCAAAGTAATTAATGGTCCAAGAATTATATACATATATATATATATAATTTTATGACAATATTCATACCACGCCTGCTGGATCATCGTGATTTCCATGAATGCTGAAAACCGGCAAGCCCACATTGAAGTGAGGATCTTCATAATTCACATGACCAAATCTGTTTAAAAAACAAAAGAAAAGAAACAAGGTGTACACGTTGAACCAAGTGAAGCTAAGCTTTGAGTTTTAGGTATTTCACAATTGCAAAGAGAATGCTCAAGAATCTAAAGCGTGAATAAACATAAATATGTGATCGCACGTTAACCTCTCTGTAAGCATTAAATGGAGTATTCATTAGCAAAAGCAAGGTAAACAGAAAGTATATGTAGCAGAATCAGTCTAAGCAGAAAAAGGATTAAAGAGCAGAGAAAATTCTAGAAGATGATGGCCTAAATATGATTATATATTGCTGCAGAAGCAATCAGCAGGACTAGCAGAGAGTTTAGCTTAATTATGTAATTGGAAATAACATAGTAAATATACCTGCCAAAATTAGTTGCTAATTACATAAATTTCTTACACATTCTGAAAATTAACGGTCTGGTCGCTGACAACTTCAAACCGCACTGGCAGATCATTGAGACAGTGTCTACGGAGAATCTCAATAGCCTTAACTAACGTTGATCTCGATGGCTTATTCTCGTGGAAAAGATCGCCGCCAAGTAATAAAAAGTCAACCTGACACCGTATACAAATACATTCCATCAAATACTCTCCATGAGCTGACATATAATCGCATGCACACCAAGCATATTTTGAAACAAAAACAACATGCGAAAGACTGAGGAGAGAAGCAATTTTCCATCAACCAGTTTTTGAGCCGCAAAGATTTTTTCCTTTCGTCGTTTTTTTTTTTTCCCAATTCTGAGAAACAAATGCTCACTCCGAAGAAATAGAAGCAACTCAATAGAATATCAACGAAGCTAATCTATCAGCACAATAACACAGGCAAGTAGAGAAGCACATTACGGAGAGAAGAAGTATAAAGAAAAAACGATTAAGTAAAAAAGGAGGGAATTACCTGCTTCTGCTCAGCTATTGAGCAGATTTCATCAAATGCTTGAAATGAGTCGTGACGTCGTATTTCGTCCTTCTCCATGTAGCCAAGGTGGCAGTCCGTAGCTACAAGTATGCGAAGCGTGTCGCTAGCGTCACCCATGGATAAACCTTCCTCGCAATGCTATGAGGAGTGTTTCTATGCGACAAATGACAAGTGAGAGTTGCGAACGAAGAAGGTAGCGGGGATTGAGGTGAAGAAGGAGACGAAGAAAGCTGAAAAGGAGAAACTGCAGTGCTGGTGATCGAGAAATTTGGGCGCGGCGGTCGTCGGGAAGAGGAAGAGAACCCCAAAAATCCCCCACACTTGACGCGAACGACGTCGCTCCTCAAAAGGAGTCAAACTCAGAGTCAAAGGTGGAATTTTTGAAATGGCGGGAGCCCAAAAATAGTTTTTTTGCCAATATTATTTTGAGAATAATTAGAAGTTAAGATATTGTTATGAACTTCTTTGGTGATTATGCTTGTAATATTATAGTTGTAGCTGTAATGATTATTTTCTTCTCGTGAAAAACATTAGCGGCCGCTTCTAATCTAATTTAAATTTTTACTTTTTTTTGGCTGGTTAATTTAAATTTTTTTAGTTGAAATTTCGATGACCCAGTCATAAAATGATGCTGACCAATAATAATAACAAGAAAATAATCCCTCCGAAATTAAAAAACACACATTATCACTAGTTATAACAATACAATACCAACATACCATCATGTATATATATGTAACCCAAAAAACACAAACTCCCACTTTTCTTTTATATGACTATCTAGTGGTTTTAAATTGAAGACTGCATTCCCATGTCCTCGAAGTCGAAAGTTTAAGACGATCAAAACCTCTCTCATTAGGAATAACACAGGACTAAATACTGTTGGTAAAACAGACACATAACAGCCTGAAGCAAGGCTTTTAAACAAGAATCGCGTCAAACACGTTACTATTCAGTACTCATCAGGGTCGGCCTCTGTGACCATTGTCCACCGGTGGGTATTCACCTTCTGGGTTGTGATTCCAAATCCATGTCTTGATTTGTAAGATCTGCTCTTTGAGCTCTGGAAAACAGCAATAACCAAGCAGCACAAAAATACAGAGCCATAGGACCACAGAGGTCCACAGAATGGGCCTTGAAATCATGCTCAGAGCTAAAAGAGAAGTTCCACTGTCGAGCAGAAGCATGACAAGGAGTGGAGCCATGTTCCTCGTATGCATCTGAGACAGCGTTGCCAAAAACTTTGTCAAACACGAAACGAATATGAGCAGAAACATGGCCTTCATAACAGAGTAGTTTGCAGAGAAGAAAGCCTTCCGTGTATCAGTGAGCTTCAAGGCGAATATTGAGCCGATGAGCAAAGTAAACCCCTTGTCGAATACATCCAGTGCTTCTTTGAGAAGATCGACCTCAATGCTCCTGCGCCATGTCAATGATATAAGATGGAAGCCTTAAATATCCTGTTGCTGATGAAGATGAAGAAGAAGAAGAACTGAGAAACAGATTATTTACCTCACTGCAGCGACGACAGCATCTCCAGAATCTTTGATCCTTTTTTTGATGTCGAGAAACAACGAACTCATTTTACCATAAAAATTCTTTGCTGCTTGTATGAACTTATCTGGACTGATTTGCATCAAATATGAGCAGGAAAAAAAAAAACAAAAGAACTGTTAGGAATGGCTCTGTGCTAAGGAAGAGGCGAAACAGAGCAAGAAAACGTGGGAAAAACAAGAGTACTAACCAAATTGAAGCTGAAGGAGTGGTGATGGCGGAACCCATGGCAGTTACTATTGATAATAGAGAAGTCAATCTAGACACAAACAATCGCGCCATCCCAGATCATATTTATAACCATGCTATTTACTATTCCTCTTTATTTATTTATATATACAAGTTAGATAATTAATTAGAGACTTGGAGTTCAAAAAATTTATTTTTTACAAAAATATATGTTAGTTTTTATCAATTTTTTTCCTAATTATTTGTATAAAAAATTACGAGTGTCATAAAAAAAAAACATGCAATAACAGGAGAATTTAGAAGAATGAAATAATGTGTAATCATACCTTATATTTAGAATTAAAATAAACCCATCTATTTTAATTCTGGAGCAACAACTAGTTCTCTAGAGATTAAGGGGAAAAAGTGTGTAATTTGAAACATCTGCCCAGTTGAAGGTGGACTGCAGAATATCGCACGTATAAAACGTTTAAAACTGGATCGTGCGAAAAGGCTTTGTGCAAGATCGTGCGTATAGAACGTTTAAAACTGGATCAAACGATATGGGAATGTTTTCACCACCTTCTTAATCTTATTCTTCCTATTGGCCTGGAAACTTCATGGAAATGAATAAAAAATTCGAAATCCCTCCCCCGCTATCGCTGTCAACGGCTAAATGCTAATGGAGAAATCTGCCGCTGTTTAACCCCAGAATAATATTGCCTTCAACGTATCTTCACACTTAAGGAAAAAGAAATATGAGACTGACAGAGGGTAAGGGCAGAGCGAAATTCGAATAAAAAGCTGGGTTAATGTGTGAATGTCCTGTCCTCACAGTTTTCATTTGGGGGGGGGGGGGGGAGTTTTTTTTTTTTAATCAAATTTGTCCTAAAAATTTAAACCAGTGACAATTTTACTTCTTACTATTAAAAATATTAATGATTGATGTTATTATTTTAATAGTTAACTTTAACTATTAACGATAATAGGTAAAATTGGTAGGCAAATTTGGACAAAAAAAGTTATTAATAAAATGTTTTTTTTTTTTGGGAATAAAAGGGAATTTGAATAAAATGTTTTAGGGCTGTAAAACTTTCCCTCAAGCTTCACGTGTGATTCTACTTATAATTTCATATAATTATATTTATGCATGAAATTCAAACAGATGAGCTGAAATTGAGTATGGGGAATTTGATAACAGTACTTAAAAAATATTTTCACATAAATTGAAATAAAATTCATCTTACATGCTTATTTTATATATCATAAAATCATTTTTAAAAAACTAATTCAGACATCTCAAGAAATTGAAGCCATATCATGTTAGTGTGTGCTAGAGAGTATTGTCAATAACTTGTAATGTCTATATCTTCAGCGATGAATCTCGAAACCAAATTATTCAAATCCCTACGACATGATTATTAATCTATTCATGGTCCTTTAAGATTATTAATTTTACTTCATATTAGTTCTGCGTCATCTTCTCTAAGATCAGATCCAAAATCCTATTAAAGACCTTTTTTTTTGGCAAAATTTATTAACATCATATGAAATGACTGGAAGATGTCTTGACCCAGAACCACACCAAGTCCAAAGAGGGAGAAAAACAACTGGGGAAAAAAAACACTGCTTCCGGAGATTCCACTTTTACGAACCCAGGTCACGCCCAACAGCCATAATAGTCAGTCCTAAAACAACTCGAAACCATAATCACACAATTGACTCCGTAGCCAATCATTTCCCTGTTCCCGTCAAAGCCATGTCAACGTCTGATTTATATCAGCTGAATGCTTGTTTGAGGGTGCTTATATTAAAAATTTATACACACCAGCATAAGACGGTACTAATTATACGAACTAATTAACTAGTTTAAAAAAATTAAAAAAATAAGTTAAGTTAGTTATTTGTAATAAATATGTGTTGTCTTTTCTAAAATATCCTTGCTAATCAAGTGTATTGGTTAAAACTACAATTATTAGAATTACTATCTTGAAAAAAATTACATAAATATGATAAATAAAGTAAATTAGGGTTTTATATTTAAGACTAAAATAAAAATTAAACGATATTTATATTAAGAACCAGAGGTAATAATGTAGTATTTTGTAAACCATAGCTGAAAAATTGTTTTTAAGTAATCTTACTGCTAAATCCAAACAAGCCCTTATTAGATTTCCATATTGCCACGACCATAACAGCAAAACGAGTACAAGAGCAAGAGGAAAAAGCAAACGAGGAGGACAATTAAGAAAGGGTATTTTTAGTAATTAAATCTCAATATAAAAAGAGCACAAAAATGAGAATAAAATTGATTAAAATTAAGAATAGTCAGGAAAAAGGAAAAGCACACCTTTTTTTTTTTTTAATTTTACAAACGAGCCTGAAAGTTGAAAATGGATTTCTTGAGTAATCATCCTAACTTCCTAAGCTTGTTAGTGATGATTTGAGAATTTTGATTGGTTATATAAAAGTGGCATTTGAAGATTAAAAGTAAAAATTCTCAATCAAACCCTACAATTTCACCTTCTCAATCCGTTTGCATTGTGCAAGCTCCCTTGTCCACGTGAGCTCGGAACAGGATGAAAGGATTTGTTTATCATGGGTTTTTCCCAAGAACAATTGCAAGTGTTACGTCCCCTAAACTCGGGATTATATAATTGAATACTGATTAGGCCTTCGCTGAATACATAAAATGAGAATAAAAATTAGTCAATCAAACTCTGCAATAAACCTCCTCAAATTAATTTTGTGAACTTCACCTTGTTTAGGATTAATATTTCTATAATGTGATTTTTGCTTGAATGTTACACCGTTATAATGACATGATTTTGACCGAACTGATCCGTGCTTAGATAATTTTGATAAAAACATTTTTAGTATATAATTGTTCAAAAGGGAATGAGTCTTATAATATGATATAGGAAAAATTAATCTTTTGATCCTTCAAGTTTTAATTCAGTTGTGACTCAGTCCTTCAATTATGATTCGGTATAATTCAGTCCTTGAACTTTTAACTCGTTTAAAACTCAGTTCTTGATATTTACTCAACTTAAAAATTGTATCCTTATCATCTATAAGTCAAACTGAGTCATCCAACCTGGCATGAATAAGCTGCCATATGAGAGCCACATCAGCATAAGGAAGGGGGAAAAGCCTGGGCAATCAACGATGCCAAAGAAGAGGCTGTTGCTGAAGAAGACAACCCAGTTCCAATATTGAAACAGTTATCCTTAATGAGACACCCACCAAATACACCAGTCTCAAATACTTTAACAAAATCATTAATTCATTTTCTTTAACTAAATTCCATCTTCCGTGCTTGATGCTTAAAATCACACTGTGCCCACCCATTGCATAGAAAATGAGTGACCCATATATTGAAAATATGCGCTTCGAAATCACTCCATATAAGGACAACTATTTTACTGAATTACATTCCAAACATTTGTTTGTACTCGTTCGTCCTATGACTATGCAAAACAACCAGAAAAAAAAAAGACAAGAAAAAGATCAAGACGGTGAAGGAGAAGGATTCTTATTAGTGAGCTATTATGTTCAATTGTTCATATATTTAAAGCATCATTAGGAGAAAATGATGTCCGCTGTCACGACAGAAAATGTTTATGCAGGCAGAAAAAATAAAGATATTTTTAGATTCGAGTGCCCAGGCTTTTTAATGAGTGGTCATTGATGATAACTGTTTCATTGGGCTGTCTTCTCCGGCAACGGCCTCTTCTTTGGCATCGTTGAGTTAGTTATTTGCAATAAATATGCATTATTTTTTCTAAAATATCGTTGCTAATCAAGTGTATTGGTTAGAACTACGATTATTAGAAGAATTATTTTTAAAAAATACATAAATATAAGAGACAAAGTGAATTGAGATTTTATATTTATGATAACAAATAAAAGTCAAATAAGATTTTATATTAAAGATCGGGGGTATGATTTATAAACAGGTTGATATAAGTTAAAACAAAATCCATCTAGCATAAGACTTGCCTTGTCTTCTGTAAACCATAGCTGAAAAATTGTTTTTAAGTAATCTTACTGCTAATTCTAAACAAGGCCTTATTAGATCTCCATAATGCCACAGCCATAACAGTAAAACGAGTAGAAGAGTAAGAGGAAAAATCGAACGAGGAAGACAATTAAGAAAGGGTATTTTTAGTAATTAAAGCTCAATATAAAAATAACACAAAAATGAAAACAAGGAAAAGTTTTTTTTTTGTTTTTTAATTTTACAAACGACCTTAAAAGATGAAAATGGATTTCATGAGTAATCATCCTAACTTCCTAAGTTTGTTAGTGATGATTTGAGAATTTTGATTGCTTATAAAAATGGCATTTGAAGATTAAAAGTAAAAACTGCTCAATCAAAACCTACAATTTCACCTTCTCAATCAGTTTGAATTGTGCAGGCTCCCTTGCACATATGAGCTTGGAACAGGATAGAAGGATTTGTTTTTCATGGGTTTTGAACAATTATAGGTGTTATGTACCCTAAACTAGGGATTATATAATTGAATGTTGATTAGGCCTTCGCTGAATACATAAAAAGAGAGTAAAAATCAGTCAATCAAACTATACGATAAACCTCCTCAAATTAATTTTGTGAACTCGACTTTATTTAGGATTAATATTTCTATAATGCGGTTTTTTCTTGAATGTTACACTGTTATAATGATATTATTTTGGCCAAAGTGATCCATGCTTAGATAATTTTGATAAGAACATTTTTAGTATATAATTGTTCAAAAAGGAATGAGTTTTATAATATGATATGAAATGATTAGTGAAGATTGTTGCATTTATTTAATAAATAATATATAATATGTTGAAATAGTTAGATTTATTAAAAACATAATAAACTCCCATGGTAAAAAAAAAATTAAAAACACAATAAACCAAATATTTTTTTTGGAGAAAAATAAAATAAATAATTTTATCGTCCATAGTAATAAGTAAAATTGTTTTTTATTAATTTTTCTGGCAAAAAAGAGTTTTTTTTTTTTTTTAACACTAATCCGTTTGCGTCGCTTTCTCCCTCACTATTCGCAGCAAGTTTTTTTCTTCGTCCTTTTCTCAGTCGATATCTTGGGTATCGAGGGTCGACTGGCAGCTGACCGTCTCTCTTGGTTAATCAAGTTCGACGGCAGCTCTTCCTCTCCCTTGAATAAACGAGTTCGAAGGCAGCCTCCTCTTCTCTCTACTAAATTGATTTGGATTGCAAAGCAAGGTGTGTTTTTGCTTCATTCCTCTTCATTTTTTGGTCGTACAATTGCTGCCGTCTAAAGTTTTTTATCTGAAAAGAAAATAATGGAACTTTGTTGTTAAAATAATAGTTTTATGACGAGGAAATTAAGGATATTCTTTGCTAGATTTATTGCTGAATATGATCACAAAATTTATGTAAAGGTGTTGTTATCGTTAATGAGTAAATTTGCGGACTGACAAATTACCATAAGTGTGGTTTGTGTTGACTTGAACTAACATGAAATGCTGAAGCAGTGCTAGTTATGAGCTATATGTGTGGGTTGATATGCTGTGCAGAGGTTGTCTCTGGCAATGCATGCGGGGAAGAAGAATATTCCCTCCAACCACAATTTTCCAAAAAATCTCAGTAACTTCATTCTGCCACTTTTTTTTTTTGTGTTTTAAATTTTGATCTGGCTTCAGTGAACTACAAGGAAATACATAAGAGTGTCATCTTTTGGAAAGCTGTATTCTTTAGGGCGGTGGATGGGGGGAGGGAATAATTGCTTGGTTGGCATTTTCATGTCACAATATTAAATTGATGCGTTGGTTTTGGTTTGTTAAGTAGCTGGTATATTGTTTTTTCTTCTTTTCTTTTTCCTTCCGTCCTTCCTTCCTTCTTCTTCTTGTGTGTGTGTGATCAAAATATATCGCAGGATCTTGCTCTAATTTTGGTCCATGTGGTAAATGCATTTTTCAGTGATGGTGATGTTTTTTATGACTTGACCAAGAAAATGCCTTCTGATGAGAAAGCTGGTGACAAACTATCGCACAGAACTGCTGATACTCTTCTGTCAAAAGAGCTTGCCTCACCTCCACTTCATGAAGTATGTTCTATTCACTTCCACTTCATTTGAGGAACCAAAACTATGTAGCATGCCATCTTAGTTCATTGGTAAGAAAACACCAAAACTTGGCCATCAAAGCCTTAGATGACAAACCAAACGGGAAAGTTACTTCTGCGGATATCTTGGACAATCCTCCTCATGGAACCAAGGGGGATAGTTCTGTTAGAATGGTTCAGAGAACTGCCACAACCACAATATCTGTTCCTTTTTCCCCAGAATCTTCACTTTTGAGACAGCATCAGCTTTGTGATGTTATTGAATCAAATAAGATCATCAGTAGCTATATTCGAGCAGGTGACTTGGATTCTGCTATTCATGTGTTCCAAAATATGGAACTCAAGACCACAATCACGTGGAATTCTATGTTAGCTGGGTATGCGAAGAAACCTGGAAAAATTAAAGAAGCGTGTGAACTGTTTGAAAAAATCCCTCAACCAGATACTGTTTCCTATAATATAATGCTAGCCTGTTATTGGCACAATTTTGACATTGGTAATGCCTGTGCTTTGTTTGATAATATGCCTGGGAAGGATACTGCTTCATGGAATACAATGATATCTGGTTATGCTCAGATGGGAAAAATGAGTGAGGCGAGGGAGTTGTTTTCAGTGATGCCGGATAGGAACAGTGTTTCATGGAGTGCAATGGTATCTGGATATGTTGGATGTGGGGATTTAGATTCTGCATTGGAGATTTTCAATTCAGCTACTATAAAGAGTGTGGTTGCATGGACTGCTATGGTAACTGGGTACATGAAGTTTGGGAGGGTTCAATCAGCAGAAAGATTGTTTCAAGAAATGCCTTTGAAGAACTTGGTGACTTGGAATGCTATGATTGCAGGGTATATTGAAAATAACCAGGCAGAGGATGGGTTGAAGCTCTTCAGGAAAATGTTAGAAGCTGGATTTAAAGCTAATGCATCAAGCTTGAGCAGTGTTTTATTGGGATGTAGTACTTTATCTGCACTGCAATTGGGTAAACAAGTTCATCAGTTTATTTGTAAATCTCCATTGATTTGCGATACTACAGTAGGAACTTCACTGATTAGCATGTATTCCAAGTGTGGCGATCTAAATGATGCTTGGAAGTTGTTTGTTCAGATTCCACGACGGGATATCGTAACTTGGAATGCAATGATTTCTGGTTATGCTCAACATGGAGCTGGTAAAAAAGCTCTCCATTTGTTTGATGATATGAAAAGAGATGGCATAAAGCCAGATTGGATCACTTTCATTGCAGTATTATTAGCTTGTAACCATGCAGGTTTGGCAGATCTGGGGGTCCATTACTTTGAATCAATGGCAAAGGATTTTGGAGTTGAAGCTAAGCTAGATCATTACACTTGCATGGTTGATCTTCTTGGCCGAGCTGGAAGGTTATCTGAGGCTGTATACTTGATACAGAATATGCCTTTTAAACCACATTCTGCCATCTTTGGAACACTTTTGGGTGCCTGTCGGATCCATAGAAACTTAGACATAGCTGAGTTTGCGGCAAAAAATTTGCTTGCACATGATCCAGCCAGCGCTGCAGGTTATGTTCAATTGGCTAATATTTATGCGGCACAAAATAGGTGGGACCATGTAGCTAGAATCCGAAGATCCATGAAAGAAAATAATGTAGTTAAGACGCCTGGATATAGTTGGCTTGAAGTAAACAAAGTGGTACACGAGTTCAGATCAAACGATAGGTTGCACCCTGAATTGGCTTCTATACACAAAAAACTAAAGGAATTGGAAAGAAAAATGAAGTTGGCTGGCTACGTGCCAGATCTTGAATTTGCATTGCATGATGTAGGAGAGGAGCAAAAAGAACAGCTTCTTTTATTCCACAGTGAGAAACTGGCAATTGCATTTGGACTCCTAAAGGTTCCACTGGGGTTTCCAATTCGGGTATTTAAAAACTTGAGAGTCTGTGGAGATTGCCACTCTGCAATTAAGTATATCTCGGCTATTGAAGGAAAAGAAATCGTTGTTAGGGATACCACAAGGTTTCACCACTTCAAGAATGGTTTCTGCTCCTGCAGTGATTATTGGTAAGCTTGTGACATTGTTGTGCCCACATGGTTTTAAACTTGAGGATACAATTTTATTGTCACAGGCTTTCCAGTATGCCAATCCACTATCTAATTTTTTGCCTTCGCCCTTCTGGTGTTATATTATGTTGGAAGGAGCATTGACTTTAAGAAAAGGACCAGTGAGAGCGTAAGTAATTATGATAACTGAGATTCAGAGTCAAAAACTCCATCTTTGTCTGAACTTGTATGCGGAATCACCTGGACCTGCAAAAGAAGTTTTTCAAACGTGTTCTGCAATGAAAAACTGATATGAAAGAAAATCAGGGTTTTTAATACGTGATCAGCTCATTTTTCTTCTAGCATGCTCCTTAGTTGATCTCTCATGGGGGTGAATGCACAAGTTCTCTGATGAAAATTGATGTCTGGAGAAGGATGATTAGTATGGTGGATGATCAGTATTCTTGCTGACAAAGACGAATGTAAATTATAGAGATTGTGAAAGTGATAGTATGCAACATGCGAGCCGTATTGCTTAATGCTAATTCTATCCATGATTCTCTATTTGCGATGCTCATAGCCGATGGTACCCAGACCTTGAGAGTATGAGGATTCCAAGTTTCTAGAAGGTCTTGATGATAGCAGTCTTTTCTTCGGTGCAACGATGATAACAGTCTTGGGCTATGTTTGGATTGCAGTTTGTAATGGTAAAAGTCTATGGGAATAACAGTCTTGGGCTATGTTTGGATTGTAGGTTGTAATGATAAAAGTCTATTGGAAAGCGTGAAACTGTAGTTTGTGTCTTATTTAGGACCAAATGGTTGTTTGGATGGGCTAAAAACCTAACCAACTTCTCGCCTTCAACCTCAGTTGGACTCAACGGAGAAAAAATCTGACTTTTTCCATTTCAAATTTCAGTTTTCAAATGGTGATCATTAAAAATGAGCATTAAAAATATACCAACTCAGATTTACCTTTATATTTTCTCTTCTGCCTCATCTCTTTCACTAGCATAATAAGTTTTTTATCAGATCAAATGAATTTTAATTTATATTCATGTTTGTTCATTATATATATTTAAGTAATTATCTATAATGTGTTTTCAAATTTTTCTCATTGACAAATATTTTTATTTTATAATCTTACAAAAACTATTTTTATTTTATCATAATAATTTTAGGTTTTTTTAACTATTATCACATTAAAAATTTAAAATATCAAACGTTACTATTCAATGAAGTTTATGTTCTTTTCAATCATTTTATAATTGAACTCACTTTTCTATTTAATTATTTAAATTTTTAATTTTTCTAACTGACTTTTTATAAATACATATCCAAATATAAATTGTATTATGCTAACTGATTTTTATTCTAACTTTATTTATAAAAGTTAGTTAGACTAAAAGTTAGTTTTGTCCAACACCAATCCAAATACAACCTTGAAGTGCTGCATCTTGATATGTCTGGACTTTCTGTCTTCCAAAGATCCTTATACCGTTCAAGCGTTCATCGCCAGCCCAAATTGTTCAAAGCCCCGCATAACCCCAAAACTGTATGTAATTTTAGGTTTCATTTGGATTGGGAAAAATAATATTAAGAGGAAAAACTTCCAAAAATGAAGTATTCTTTCGTCTCTATTTTCGTCATCCAAACGAGTACTCCAACTCTGATGGTTCCATAGAGGAGTCGTGTTCTCTCGTCCTGGAAAAATTGCTTGAATGCTGAGGTCAACTCAATATTGACCGATTAGATTCAGACCGCTCCGGAGGTGGGTTTCGTTGGGGACATTTCTTGCAGTTTCTCGCTGTAGGGACATCCAAAGCATAAATTTGATAATGCAGCAGATGAAGCTGGTGAATGTTTAGATGAAGATGGGTATCATGAGCTGATCTTTTTCCATTAATTTTAATAGTTTAAAGCTTCAATTTATTTGTGAGATGAGCAGCTGGAAGATATAATGTGTTAGATTTAGCCTTATTTAAAATTTTGAGACTAAATTCATTAAATTTAGAATTTAAGAGATGCTAGATTGAATCTTTAAAGTGGAATAGTTAATTTCCTGTTGTAAGTAATAAAAATATTTATATATATACACACTTTTATACCTGAATGATACGTAGTAGTTAAATTTTTCTCTTTTTATGCACTGACGTGTAAGAATATTGTTCACGAACTGTTGGTTTTATTTATCAGGCTACATAATTAAATCATTTTTTATTATCCCACTCTCTTTTTAACCTGAATTTTTGTTGTCCAGCTGGAATTGAAGAAAAGGTGGGTCATATTATTGCCTAGGCACGGCAAGCTTGGCGGTGGCCGCCCCGTGAATGAAAAAGCGAACGTGGTGGTGGGGAAAAATAACAAACATTTGGCGCGCATGAATAATAGTGGACACGTGTTTGATATAAATGACATATAAAGTGAACTTTGCAACGTGTCGACTACAAGATGAGCCACGTGGCAGAAAAATACGAACGTCTCTTCTTTTTTTCCCTCTCTGTTGCGTGGCAGCACGCTCCTTTTTTTCTTTTTTTTTTGGATACGAAGTCACTGCGCTCCTTTTCTTCTCCCCGTTATAACCACTTACTTTTTTTTTAATTAAAAAAAAAATCCTAACAGCCTCTTTTTTTTTTTTGTGTGTTTGGTTGGTGTAACTTTTTTGCCGCCTTTTGGTTAGGTGTTACAATATACAAAATAAATATTTGATTTGTATGAAGATTTTTTTAAAAAAATATTTTTTTATACCAAATACCCCCTGAATGTGACAATTTTTTCAGGAGAAATTCAATTTTAATTTGGAAGGTGATGAGGGACCCTAACAACCGTGATTGGTAATGCAAAGAATTTTATGATAATACTGTTTTGCTGTCGAAATCTTATTGCTACCTTTCACCTAAGAAAAGAAAAGGCTTCAGTTCCTGGCTCTCTTGCACGCGCGTGTGATCTGAATTCTGAAGTCCTCCTTGCGATGCATGTCATTAAAATCAATTTGTTTTTAAATATAAAATTTTAATATATTTTGTTTTAATATTTATTTTTAAAATAATTTTTATAGAATAATTATATATATTACAAGTCTTATTAAATAACAGTTATAACTAATATATACGGTCAATAAGGATATTTTAAAAAAAATAACATATGTTTATTATAAATAACTAATTTTTTTAATTTTTTAGAGAGTATTTTGATAGGAATAAGAGAAAGTATTTTTAATAAAGATATATTATTATAAAGTATTTATTGATATATATTTTATTATATATAAAGTAAGACGTAAAAAAAAATTTGTTTCAATTTTTATGAAAAGACTTTTTTAAAGTTTTTTTTACCATCTAAACATTTTCTAATTAGACAATTAATTTTTATATAAGCAGTGGGACTAATAATATATATTGATATCCAAAACGGTCTTCATCTTATCATTATGGTCTTTATTCCTTTTTTTAAAAAAAAAATTCAAACTCGTGTATATTTCTACTTATTTATCAAAAATGTAAAATTGCATGCTGCTACCCTAAGTTATTAAAATATATTCTAAACAATAAGCCTAAACAAAGAAAAGAAGTTGGCAAAAAAAAAAAACAAATGAAAGAAAAAAGAAGATAAGCCACACATCCGTTTTGTAGATTCAGGGATCTGTTGCTGACTTTGGTCCAATGCAGGAATATTTATTATTTTTCTCTAAAATATATTTTTGTATATAAAAAACAAGGCAAGTCCACGAAACATAAAAAGAAAAAACAAAACCTAAACGATACAAAAACCTAATCTCAATTAATATAAAGAAAGAACAATACTGTCAACGTAAACTCTAACCTAGAGTTTTTACTATTTAGATCCCACCAACTTCAACCTTTAACCAATTTTTTGTATTATTATTATATATATTAATTATTTACGAAAATATTATTTTTTTAAAAAAATTAGACGACAGCATGATATTACAGGATTAAACCTGCCACTTCTCATTTGCATATTTCAATGGGTTAATACAATCATTCCTCACTTAAGTTTTTGTGGATCTCAGCTTTAATCTTTCAAATTTCTAGTCTTAAATTTTGTTTCTTTAATAAATAAAATAATTCACATTTATATTAAATTGTAAAAATTAATATTTTAACCCAGACAAATTAGAATTTAAAATTTAAATTTGAAAGATTAAAAAAAGGAATTTATGAGACAAAAATTATTAATTCTATTTTAATTTCATGCCATCAGGTCACATTTACCAAAATTACTACTCCGTCCCTCATTATAAGATCTTTTTAACTAAATTGCGTGATTTAAGATAACGGTTAAAATTGATTAAAAGTAATTAATATGTAGCAAATATAATTTTTTTCCAAATATATTCTCATGCATAAATGAGTAGATATGAGAGGATAATAGTAAGATAAATAAAAAAATTAAATATATTAAACTAAGATTAAAATAGATAATTATGTATTAAATGTTTAAACAAATAAAAAAAATCTTATAAAAAAAAACAAACCTATTAAAAAAAAATTAGATGGAGCATTGCAGCATCAGTTCGCAACCAATCTGACACCGACACAACCGTGCCAGTAAAGCAACGTTCCCCAACAATCTCACCTGTCCCTGCAAACAATAAAAAAAATACGAGACCCCTCCTGGAATCAAAACTCATTCCATATTCCTCGCCATCTTTCTTTCTCTACCTCCCATCTCCTTTCTCTTCCTCCTTACATATATTTCGACTCATCCTCTTTCGTTCCATTTTTCTCTCCTTTTCTTTTTCCTCATTCTCTCTGATCTCTTCACATTCTTCGGCCGTCTGATTCCTCCGCTGCCCCGCCTTCGCCACCGACCCTTCCGTCATGGCGCCCCGTCTGTTATCCTGCTTCGGCAAACGCGGCGGAGGTGGCGCGCACGGTAGTCGAGGCGAGTCCGTCCACGAGAGCAGCGTGACGGCGGAGGAGATGAAGGGCGGGGGACCGGTGTTGGTGGAGCTGTTCTCGTCGCAGGGATGCGCGACGTCGCCGGCGGCGGAGCTGGTGGTGTCGAGGTTGGGGCGGGGAGATTTCCAGCTGGAGATGCCGGTGGTGGTCCTGGCCTTCCACGTGGACTACTGGGATTACATGGGCTGGAAGGATCCATACGGGTCGAGTCAATGGACCGTCAGGCAGAAGGCCTACGTTGAGAGTCTTGGGCTTGACACGATGTTCACGCCCCAGATCGTGGTCCAGGGCAAGGCCCATTGTGTTGGAAATGACGAGAATGCCCTGATCACGGCCATCTCGCAAGCTCCCAGATATCCTTCGCCTTCCTTCCAGGTTCGCATTGCTCATACTTTGTTCCTTATTTTTGCACTTCATAAGAGCCAAAACGAAAATTAAAAAAAAAAAAGCCTATAAGCTAAACGCTAATTATTTACACGTGTATGATAATGTTATAATAGAACTATATATATTCGTTACAAACACTGAATAGATCTTTCAAAAAATGATATAGATATTATAAAAATAAACTTCAGTTAATAATAACATACAGAAATGGATATAAGGCTAATTCCTCATATACTTCATCAGCAATGTATACTGGTTCTCATTTTCTTATAATTTTGTAATCAAATTTCCAATGAATAATAAGAGAAGTTCATAAAGCTTATTTATGTGATGTTCAGCTGTAAGATTCCTACATGATATCCAAAAATTATATGTTTTTTATAATTTTATTATATATGTATATATAAAGTATTTTTTATTGCGTAATCTGTACAAATTGTATCAGGTTGAAGGCGCTTTTTTTTTTTTTTTTTTTTTGTTTTTGCTTTCAATTGTATATTTTTGGTAACGCAGAAGAATGACATTGAATCTTTATGAAATATTTGAATTAAAAAATCTGTTTACCTCATTGGTTAAGACTTAAAAGCTATTAGGCGTATTCTTTGAGGGATACTTCAATGATTTGGTTACTTTATGAAACAAAGACAAGAATAAGCCATCCCTTTTGATGAAACTTGCCATATACCCACACAAAAAAATGTTAAGAAGGTTTATTTGCAGATATTCTCTTCATTTTTATTTTTGTGAAGTTTACAATTTCTCAAAAGATCTATTGAGCTGGCATAAAGCTCAAGTTAATTATAATCAACATACTTAGGTTATCTGTCAACCACATGTTTCTGTCATCTGGTGGATCTGAAAGAGATTTGTATATATGTGATGCATGTGATTTTCAATCTCAATATCAACATCCCTCCTAACATTGTGATTTTCAATCTCAATATCAACATCCCTCCTAACATCAAGTAGGAGGCCTATTTCTTACCTAATATCAAAATTCTTTATGAAATTTTGGGAAATTCAATTTTACTTTTCATAATGCTTAAAATCACTTAACTAACTAATGCCATGATTGAAATCCCATCATCCACAGATTTCCTTGTTTAACTATGGCCTTTGAGATATCTATTCACATTGAAGAGTGGACAAGACAAAATACAAGTCCAGCTACCTTAGGTGGCTCATAATCTGTTTTATGCTATACTCTGTCAAAGATTTTCCTGTTCAACCAAGCGGTTAAGGGCAGGATTATAATTTGTGTAGAATTTGGAGATAAGGGGAAAAACAACACTGAGCAAGAATACTTATGAGAAATCCATACAACTTGCTGTTTCTTTCGATGAAAAGTTCATATGAGTTTTGAGAATTTAAAATAATAAAAAAATGCAATCTCAGCAAAGTTGACTAATAGTTAATTTTCCATTGCAGGCAACTTTCCAAAGGCCTTCACCCGATTCCTTGCAAGTGTCTCTCACAGGGGCATTAAGAACGAAGGTAAACAGTGAGGGCGTAAACGTCATGGTGGCAGTATACGAGAGTGGTCTGGTCAACAACTGCGAGAGAGGGGAGAACAAAGGCCGTGTTCTATCAAACGACTATGTCGTTCGAAGACTTGAAAAGCTCTGCAACGTCAAAGATATTGGTCCCAAGAAGACAGTCTCAGGAACCCTAAACTTTTCCCTATGGGAAGGATTCAATCCCACTAAATGTGGAGTAGCAATCTTTGTTCAAAACAGCTCCCATCAAATCTTTGGGTCACAGAGTTTCAAGCTCCCGGAAGACATATGATTAAATTGATGTGGCGGAATTGATTTTTTTTTTTTATGCGGTATGCTCTGTAATATCATGTTGGCTAAATTTGGTTAGGCGATAATGTATATACAGGATGTGTTCTGTTTTTGGAGTTTCTTTTTCCTGTTTTTACCATTTACTTGGTGTTGATTTTTAATTGAAACCATGCATAGCAGATGGATCTGTTCAATTCTTTGGGGTGCTTATTTTCATTGGATTCATAACTTTGGTGAAATTAGTTTACACAAAATATCCTGCGCTACCAATGGAAATTAAGTCAACGGAAGGAACTCATTTTTTATAACGTGATGAATTAATATTTAAATTTTTATTAAAAGATATACTCACATTTAGTGTTTGATAGTGTCTTGAATATGATTGTCTCTAATAAAAAAATATCTATGCTTTAGCAAAAGTATGTGTGTGTATATTTTGTGCTATGCTGGCTCTGCCTTTCAATAAATTGGATGAGGTGGGATGAGATTAAGAAAATGGCATGGTGAATAAGTTAAAAGGCAACAATATCATAAATCACGAGATAATTGGGGATATGACAGTTGGTACTATAAATAGTACTTATGAAGTGATGGGGAATATTAATAAACAGTTGAGAAATGAAGGTGAAAGTTGCTTATTTGCCAAGCAAGTGATAAAGGACAGTAAGCAGTAGGCTTTAAATAAAAACTAAAAAAGAAATTGATAAGTACTTTGACCTACCTCATCTAAAATTATTTATTGGAACGGTCGAAGTATCATTGTGAAGATAAATAAATAAATAAATAAAGTGATTCGTTAATTAATATATTAGAATAATTAAGGCACATTTTGTGGAAACAAAATTTATGGATTTTTTAATTGCATCTTAAATTTAAAGTAATCACGCTGATTTTCTTCCTCTTATCAGTTTTTTATTTTATTTGAAGTTGAAAAAATTGTAGAAAAATATCACAGGCGGTCTCGCACATTTTACCCAAAAAAAAAAAAATTCCGAATAGACTTCTTGTATCCTCAAATTGGCTACTCAAAGTTGATATCCAATCTGTGGCTCTGTACCTTCACTGCCTTCCAGCCATGGAACGCACACTCTCTCTCCTTATCTTCTTCTTCTTCATACTTTTAAACTAAAAAGTTGGAGTCTTGAAGATATAATTCCCTCTCTCTCTCTTCCGTATTTCTTCAATGGCTGCCTTCACTATATCTTCTGCTTCCCCCTGTAAGGTGAGTATACATATATACAGTAATTAACATACCCCTCTCTCTCTCTGTATAGATCAATCATCAAGAAGTTTGTAGGAATACTGTAGCTGATCAGTTAATTTGGTTGTGGTGGATGAATGTCAGCTGAGTTCAAGAGAGAATGGGATTTGCAGTTCATCGTCACAAGCTTTAATGGCGAAGGCGAGAAGAAGCAGTGGAGTGGGAATGAAGGAGAAGGTCAGGGGAGGGAGACTGACGTGTCAGGCGACGAGCATACCGGCCGACGACAGAGTGCCGGACATGGGCAAGAGACAGGTCATGAATCTGCTTCTGCTCGGCGCCCTTTCCCTCCCCACCGCCGGCATGCTCGTTCCTTATGCCACCTTCTTTGCTCCGCCGGGGTCCGCCCTCTCATTCCTCTTTCAACTTTCCATATTTATTATAATCAATATCATCATTTTATTATCCTATTGATTTGCAAATGATTAGATTGCTTCCTCAAGGCATAAACTAGAAACATCTTAAAATTCAGTATTTGTATATTACATGAGAATTGTAAAAGTGGTAGTAGATATGTAGAAAGTGAACGTAATTGTGAACAAATGAGAAATGGTGGAGCAGGTCAGGAGGTGGAAGTGGGGGTACCGTAGCGAAGGACGCCATTGGGAATGATGTTGTTCTCGCCGAATGGCTCAAAACCCATGGACCTGGTGACCGAACCTTAACTCAAGGATTAAAGGTACACCCTTCTCTCTCACTAACTCATTTAATATCTCACTTTTCAGTCTAATCTTCTAATTCTGTCCAAAAGTATTTACCATTTATTATATATATTAATATGTGTTATGCTGAACGGTTGAGAACAATTTGTCTCCAAATATTTTGAAGTTCACTTAGAGAGACCGAGGCCTTAGAACTTGGAGACTAACAAGCATATTAAGTAAAACAACATCGTTTTAGAACTTGAATTAGATGGTACTCTAATATGATGACAGGTGAAGTTTTAGGTTTTTGCGGATGGCCTTGTATTCTAGCAATATGAATGCTGTAAGTGAGAAGTCGTGAGTTCAATCTCACTTATAATCTCAGACCGTTAATATCTATTCTTTTAATTGAAAAAAAAAATTATAATACTTTGGGTATAACTCTAGAAGCTTGAGGAATTTGAACTCCAGAAACATGAAGTAATGGGAATGTATATAAATAAATGCAGGGAGACCCAACGTACCTGGTGGTGGAGAATGACAGGACACTCGCAACTTATGGGATCAACGCAGTGTGCACACACTTGGGGTGTGTGGTGCCATGGAATGCAGCAGAGAACAAGTTCATCTGTCCCTGCCATGGTTCTCAATACAACAACCAAGGCAGGGTCGTCCGAGGCCCTGCTCCTCTGGTAAGCAACCTTAATTTTAATCCTAAAACATGTGTCTCTGTAAACAATTGGTTTGATTTGATTAACACGTTTGTTTGTGTTGCAACAGTCTCTGGCATTGGCACATGCAGATGTCGATGATGGCAAAGTGGTGTTTGTTCCCTGGGTTGAAACTGATTTCAGAACTGGAGATGCACCCTGGTGGGCTTGATTCAAGCTTACTCCATAATATCATTCTTATGTTTTCCACTCTTAATTTTTTCTTTCCTACATTTTGTTAAAAATAAACCTTTTTTTCTTTTTCTTTTGGTATCATTGATGGTCAACGCAAGTGTCAATATTTCTTGCAAAACAGTGCGGCCTTCAGTCTTATTGTTGACTATACATAATTTCCTCCTCCAAACAATCTCGAATTTGAATTTTAGAACTCTTGTTCTAATTTTATTACAATTATATAGATATTTATAAAATAGATTGTTCAACTTTTAGCTTTAATTTGCATTATTCCAGTCTCACATCTAACTGTCCGTCCTTTCATTTGTCACTCGTCAACATGCGATGTCATGCAAATCTATAAATAAAACTCAGGGCAAGACAAAGCATAAGGTGGTACTCCCTCTGGGATTCAAAAGACAATAAATATGAAAGAAATTTTTTTCCCTCAAAAGACAAATATAATGAAATGGAGTATATACTATTCATAATAAGGTTCCTCTAATTAAGATAATTTCGGTTTCAAAAAGTGTTAACAGCCTGATTATATACTTCAAGATTAACTCATATGAGGAAACAGAGTGAAACGCATCATCATATGAAACTTGTTGCTGAACAAGCTCTCCGCTTAAACGCAAACTAAGAAGAAAAGGATTATTGCAAGGAATATATATCCCTTTACTTGGATTATTCTGGTTTGTGGTTTTTCTTGACATCATGAGTTAACATGAGAAATATGAAATGGTTAGGAACAGCTTGGAATTACAGGGCCAAGCTCTTAACATATTATAAACAAATCAAGAGCCTTAAAAAATTGAAGACAATGTGCTTAGCCTAAGTACACTTTACCATTTCCACTCACTTCAACTGGCGTCCTCAAAATTTTGGGAAAAAATGGCATGAAGCGACCATCTTTCACGGAGCCATTAGTCCTTCGATGGTGTAAGACAGTGACTTTGCCCAATCAGATCTAAAAAGAAGCGTCTGCAAAGTGCGCATCACATCATAGTCCGGATCAAGTCTCCGTTGCCACCCCTACAAAGGAGAGAGGAACGAGATTCAACAAAATTAGTTCATGAAAACTTCAAATGTAAAAAAATTCAGATCTCTAAAGCATGATTATTAATATTGCACAGTACAATAGCTTTTGGCGCCAGACTACAAAAGCTCCTTCTGAGGTCGGGCATTTAGCTTGGATACGGGTACCCAATCGGTAAGCACAGATGGCATGTTGAGTATGCCAGATTCACATCTCAAATTATTTGGCCAAATATGTCTTATGCGTAATTCTGCTTGGGAAACTGTCTCATTTATTATTACATCGTGGGGTGAAACTGATTGTTTGGGGTCCTCAATGAGCACCAGGCTTTTCTTAATGCCTTGGAGATAGCTCTCTTGATACAGTTTATAATTTCAGCCAGAAAAGGAATAGTAGCATCTCGTAGCAATCTGTAATTCACATGATTTTGAGGCAGATATGGGCAGAGAATCTTCAAGGGCACCATTCTAAAGGTGGCAAAGTCAGATGGTGAAAACTGAAAGAGTTTCTCCATCTTCAAGTGGATTTTTATGATCTTTAATAGACAGCAGCACTTTTCACAAGTCATCACACAATGAACATGGGGCACATAATGGTCTTCACTAATCTGCCATTTAAAATTTGAAGAGACCATCCAGATTTGCCAGATATTATTGTGACAAATATTGTGACAGCAAAAGTAACTTGGGGTGAGCTTTCAACCATATAACAATTGCTGGATGCATAGGGTAAACACATCACACGTTCTCATGCGTTCAACTCATTTTAAAGGGTGAGAGGACCTAATGATATGGGAATTATCCAGAGGCAGAACATACCTCCAAAACCAACATGGTCACCACCACAGAGCATATATTGCCATCTAAATTGACTTTATGTTGCCTGACGTGCTCAAGCAATTGCTGCATACAATCCGCTGGGCGGTAGGGTTCTACCTTCCAAAGGTTAAATGATTTCTCCACGTCCTGTTAAACGCAAGACCCAAAAGTTCTTAAAAAACCAGGGAGATGATAAACAAGTATATGAAACCATGGCCTAGATCACAAAAAGTCACTACACAGCTATGGACCCTATAACAGATAGAGACTTTCCAGGAAATCAGGGTTCACCATTGGTGAATCTAAAGCTTGAGCCTAACTATTTATAAGTTGCAATCAATGATTAGTATTAAGCACAACTCAGTATTCATAAGTTGCACAAATGGCAGCACTTCAACCATAAGATTGTAGTATATGAAGGTTATGTCATAGATGTAAAAGTGATCCTATATCTGAGTTAAATCAGTGTGAAGGTAAGTTGATAATAAAAAATAAAATGTGAAATTTAAAACATTATTTCAATGACAATACCTCAATGAAAGACTTTGGATTAGGGCAGCTTTGTCGTTTGGATAATTTAAGAGTGCACTCTGCAGCAGCGTGACCATCTAGAACTGCAACAGCCTTGAAGAATTCCAGTAAGTGTTGTCGCTCCCTCTTAGAGAGTTCAGAAGTCATGCCTACGTCAAGGAAAACAACATGAGGCCGTGATTTAAAAAGCTGTATCTGTGACGGTGTGATCTGTTTCCTGCGAACAAGAATATTCCCTGGATGCATATCTGCATGGATAAAGTTATCCACCTGGAAGAAGACAAACATGTAAGCTTATCAGGTATTGCAACTTGTAACCATACAGAGGAAAGGGAAATCACGCTGGAACTCTACGATGCCTTATCACATTTATTAAGGATTTAGAACACTAACAGAAGTTTGAAAACCTTCAGCATCAGATCATGATCCTTCCATCACAAGTAACTCGAAGAATAGGCTATTTTGTACAGCTTCTCTTCTTGTTCTAAGCAATTAATTTACACGCACAAGAACTAAATTATACTTAAAAAAGACTCTAATAACCGAAACCAAGAGAGGATTCTAATTATTTTACCAGAAGCATCTTTAAAAGAGCATGTGTTCCAATATGAGCAAGGGTAGTTTTGAATTGTTCGTGTCCTTCAAGCTCATCAACATAGTACATAACATTTTCGCCATGTTCGTAGGTTTCCACCAAAACAGATGGGTGCACTAGAGGGTACAAAGGCTTTGGGAATGAAACATCCTTCCATTTCCGGAAATTATAGATAAATCGACTTAAATGTGCTGCTTCTCTTGAAAGATCAACTTGAGACATCATAAAAACAGCAAACTGCTGTAAGCTTTCATCCAATCTCAACCACCTCAAATTAGGTAAGAAACTCGATATCTTGGCAACAAGATTAATGATGATAAAGTCCCTTCTAATTGCTTCATTAACACCTGGATGTCTGACTTTAACTGCCACAACAACAGGTTTCGTTTGCTGACCTGGGTATCTGTATTTAAGTGCAAGCTCGATGAACTTGAGCAATGCTACCTGATGCTACAGGTTCCTCATCGAAGTTCTCAAAAATTTCATGCAATTTGCGACCAAATGCATTTTCAATACTTTTTTGGCTGTAGGAAAATTTATGTGAGGGGGCTCTAGTGTGAAGTTTTGCAAGCTCAGAACAAAGATCCTTAGGGAAGAGATCTGGTCTTGTAGCAGCCCATTGACCCCATTTTATAAATGCTGAGCCAGCTTTTTCAAGTGTAAGGCGGACAACATGAAGCCATGTATTCCTAAAATGGACACCACCAAAGTCCACAAAAGGAAACATAGCTATGCAAGGTGAGAACAAAATGAACAAATAGATAGCCCTGCAAAACAAGATAAAAAACTCAAGGACATTGAACAAAGCAGTGGCCAAGTATAAATGTCCATCCTGTGCATGCATGTACAGAGAATCCCTTGGCGGGAAGGATTCCGCTTCTGCCTGTGTCTGCGGTGTCCAGGAAAGATCTCCTAGTACGAAAAAAACGACACCAGGCACAATAAGATTTGATCGGGACAAAGCCAGACTTACTGCACGGGCAATTTGGCCTATTGGTGGTAGAGCTGGCATCGTATGGAAACATGTTTGAGAAATCCTGTTCCAAATAACTTGAGCACACTGATTATTTACTTTATTTTCCTGATGGATAGAAGTTCCTTGCTTTGCCACTTGTCACAAAGTTCTTTTTGAGAATAAGTCTATAGTACAAAGAAAATCTGTATACTGAGAATGGTGACCCCCCTGTACAATGTGGCTCAATATTACACACTTCCCAGCTGCTAATCTTCTGTTTTTGGACAAGGGAATGTGCAAACCTTTTAACATGTCCATGAGCAAGAAACCTGCACGTTAAATTCGTAAAAGTTCTGTCATGTGGTCCATTAGAGATAAAACTCAGAAAGATTGAAAGCAAAAGATTATAGAAAAAAGCATCAAAGACCAATTCAAATGGGTAAGAACTGTATTAAGAGGGACACTCAAAGGGCCCAAAAATTTTGCGTAAAGGTGTTAAAAGGAACTAAGCCAGGGGTTCTAAACTTACAATAATGTCAGCTTTTATTCCAGCCAATTTTCACCAAAATGGGAACTATCAATCGCAAAGTTTATTAGTTGCTGAAGACCCTTTTATCTATTCCTTCTGCAGATTTCAAGTGGTATGGACCATAATACAAGAACAAAGATTGTCCAGTTTATGTTAAGAAGCAAGAGACCCTAGCTATTCTCCCCTCTCTTCCATAGTCCAAATCATCAACACTGTCCTTATTCAAAGTAGCATAAATTCATCCACTATGGCTGCAACTGGTACTGAATACAAACACTTCATCCGTTCAATAGGAAATCAAAATTTTGGTCAAAATGATAAACGAGATATGCCAATTAGTGCGCACCCTTCCGGTAGTCCATGAGCAACTAAGGGCTTTGTAGGTTGCCTTTGAGTGTGTATGCCAGTAGTGCTCACCGCATGCGTCCATGATTAACGGAACTTATGTGCTAAAAATTGGACCTTCCGATTGATTCATATATAAACATAGCCTTTCAAATGCTACCAATATCTATACGAACCCCTTTGCCTGTAAAGCACATTTTTGGTGCAGTCCATTTCTTTTCTTAAACAAAATCGAAATCATTATCTACAAAAATGCAACTAACGCATGCCATAGGAAACAAACACAGAAAAGCAGCTACAGCCAAAAATGAAATGGATTCTAAACAAAAATTTATCCCCAAAAAAATAAAATAGCGTAAGAAAATTGAATTAAAAAAAGGGCGGGGGAAAAAATTAAAAAGTAAACTTCTACAAGCAATGGGCTCAAAGCATCATGACACACTGCCTATGATCTGCTGCCTCATAGCGATTGCAAGCAAGATGATAAGGCAGCAGAGAAGAAGGGAAAAAAAATGTGAACAACAAAAGTCATATGAAACAAGAACAAACGCTGAAATGCTTATTTGACAGAAATGTCATTCATGAATGGTCCAGATAAGCCATACACGGGTTGTTAACTTGCTAAAAATTAATAGATTCCAGCAAAAAACTGAGAACTATAGCTTCCAATCAGAAGATTATTGAAGGGAGTAACCTAGACATGGTTGTCTGGATCTTGAAACAGTGAGTTCCAAACTGCAAAGGTGGTAGGGAACAATTGCCGGCATTCTACAATGAACCGGGTGCCCGGAATATCATCTTCTCCGGAGGCCACCGCCGCAAGAAGTGTCTCATGATAGCGGAGACTTCCAATAGCCACCGTTCCCCTCGGAGATCGTCAAGTTCAGATTTTTGTGTTTGGAGCAACAGCAACGGCAGTGACTGACGCCCACGGCCCATCCTTTGGCTCTGAGAGATCGGTTGACAGGAAAACGCCTCAGTCCTGATTCCATTGTCGAGGCCCATCTTGATCCAATGGTGTGATATTTATTTGTTTTTATGATATTCGGCCATATCCTCAACGAGTTTACAATTTTTGTTTCTGTCCTAATTCTTCTGGCAAAAAATGATAATGTGATATGATCAATGTTGGCCTAGTTGGCCCAGAAAAGAGATAGATATCGGCCTCAATGGCCCATTGATTTAAGACTAAAATTTGTTTTCACCTGTAGGCATCAAGGAACAAGCCGTTTGATCCGTTTTTTTTAAATAAATGAAACTCTGCGTTTCACACTTGCCCGTCAGAGATGCGATCCATGTATGTTGATAAAGCTCATACGCCTCGTAGCAGACAGTACAAAGAAATGGGCTTACAGGACAGTGCGATAATGGGCCTAGGCCTTTTTATGAGAAAGAGTTCCTAGCCCATTTAAAAAAAAGGCATCTAGAAACAAAAACTGAAGCAGTTGGAGACCTGGAAACTTCTGAGGTTTTTTGTGCTAGACTCCTTGTGCTAACCCCCAGGCACGCTCTTTGACCCAAAAAAAAAAAAAAAACACCACAGGCAGGCTCCAACGGACTTCAAGTCAGAGCCAGTTGACAGTCCCCCGGATGCCGTGTTTTATTTAACACCAACGTTATCGTCACTTCACGAGCACCATGTTTCCGCCCTTAAAGTCAAATCAATAATTAAGAAAATTAAATATTGAAGTGAACATATTTATTTTAAGAAAGTTATTATATAGATTTTTTTAATTTTAAATATTTAAAAATAAGTTTGAAACCTGTAGAGAAAAAATTTCATTAAAAAAATTTGAAACTATTAAATTCTAAATTCCTTTTTACAGTATTATTATTTGCAAGTCTAATATTATTAAAACCTATTAATATTGTTGTCAAAACTGGTCTCAAAATTAATAATTTTAAATTTTTTTGTGGGATATTATATTTAGTTTTAAAAGCATATTCCCAGATGTCAAAAATATCAGAAACCGTGCTTTGAATCAAGACTAGGGTTTCTATATTCAAAAACCACACGCAAAGGGGCAAAAACCAGTTGGCTTAATTATTAATTTATAAATAATTTCGGAGCCGAAGCCGCGGAATTTGGTCCATGTTGCGAGCTGGAAAACGATGCAAAACCGTCTTTCTTTTTCATGCCTTTCCACTAACCGCCCCCTGTTTCGCTTCCTTTTCCCAACTTTCCGCTCAAAGCCGCCTCCGGATTTTTCACTCGTCCTACCTCCATATATATGTATATATACGCCAAACCTCACTCCACCTTCGTCACCATCAAATCAACACGCAGCAAGCTTTGCTTCACCCTCACTACTCTCTTTTCGAGTTATATTCCCGGTTTCATCTTCTTCGTCGGAAAACTAAGCGATCATGAGTTCCGGAAGGAGGGCTTGGATTGTGGCATCGAGCATCGGAGCGGTGGAGGCATTGAAAGATCAATTAGGGGTTTGCAGGTGGAATTATCCTGTGAGGTCTCTGCTTCAGCACGCCAAGAACAATCTCAGATCTTATAGCCAGGCCAAGAAATTGTCGGCTTCTTCTTCTGCTGCTGTTTCCAATCAGGTCAAGAGGAGCAAGGAAGAGTGCATGAAGAAAGTCATGGACATCAATTGCTGGGGTCCAAGTACCACCAGATTCTGATTCACTCCACAGATCTCGCATCCCTTGGCCTCAATCAACCTTTCATTCATCCAATTTTGTTCATCAAGTCTGTCCGTTATGTAGTGATTGCGTCCCTCCAATCTTTGTTAGGGCATTGTATGTAATTAATTGGCATATATAGTGGGGGATGGAAGAAAATACGGACAATTTGGTGGATCTCCCTGATTTGCAAAGCTTCGTTTAAAGTTAAAAACTTTGCTTTGTAATTTTTCATCTTCTCATAATCTCTTATCATGATTATGATTAATATAATTGACAAAGTTTGATAGCATTTTCTGCTCACTTCTGCCTTGCCTTTATATTTGGCACACGCGCAAGGGATATCCAGAGCAATTGTAAAATAATAGTGATTAAGCCAGAATGCCAATGCAACTGCAAAAGCAACGCAAGATTTTCATTAGGCATATATACAATTAGTCATATATGTATCTGATAGAGGTCTAAAATTAAAGCAGCGACACAATTAAAAGTGGCATTCAGAGGCCAGTTAAAGTAGATGGAAATTTCAGGGAGAGAGAGGAGGAGGAGGAGGAAATATGCCACGCGGAGAAGGGGAAGGGAAGGCAGAGGGATTTTTTTTGGGTACAAAGAAGGAAATTTTTTGGGAAAATTGTAAAAGAATTAAATATAAAAAATTTCTTGAAATCATGGAGATTTTATTTATTTAATTATTAGATTGTTTTTTAAATATATATTGATAATTGAAAGATTACTCGTAATGATTAATAATTATCATAGGTATTAACAATATATTTTTTTAGCGCATCATAAAAGTATAATGCATTAGTTGTTAATATTTGTTAAGATACTACCTCCGGTCCTTAATATAAAATCCTCTTTGACTTTTATTTTGGTCCTAAATATAAGACCCCAATCCACTTTGTCTCTCCTATTTATGCATTTTTCCCAAGGTAGTTCTTTAATAATTATAGTTCTAGCTAATATAGTTGATTAGTAAGGATATTTTAGGAAATACAACACTTATTTATTACAAATAACTAACTTAACTTCTTTCCTTAATCTCCTCAAATTAGTCAACAGGATCTTATAATTAGGATCGGAGGTAGTAATTATTAATCGTTACATCTTAAAATGTTGACGACCACATTTTTAGTTGTCGATATATACTTTAAAAAAAAAGACAATTTAGTAATTCAACAAATAAAATATATTATAATAAAATTTTTAGAATTTTATATTAATTTATTGATTTTAAGAGATTTTTTTATATTTATTTTTTTATGTCAGACTTGTTGCAATTTTCGCAAATTGTTTTATAAGTAGATGCATACAACGAGAACCTACTCCTTCCAGCTAGATTCCAAATGAAGTCTTGGATGCCTCTAACCATCTTCCTCCTAGTTGCTTGGACCATATCAGTCCACCTCCCGCAAGCCCAATTATAATCTCTTGTAGCCCATTAATATCCGGCTCACAGAGTCCGCCCAGTCTGTGAATCCGTAGAATGATGTATTGGAACAACATGGTTGATTAAAATTTTGTAATAAATATTATTAAGTTAAAAAGAATACTTATATTTGTATTGGTTATTAAAATTTTACATAATGATTTCCTAGCAAAAATTGTTGTCAAAGGTCACGCTTAATTCCTATTTGGCCCCGACTGAGTTGAAATTTGAAAGCAATTTGGGAAACAATACAAGTTAGTAATATGATTTATATTGTTGACAAAAGTTGTGGAGGTCTTGCAACGACCTTGCACATTTTGTTAAGAGAATAGCAAATAGCAATGACCTAATTGTTATGTAAACAATCTCTCAACCCATGCACAAAAATTGGGCCCAGAATATAATTTTCAAAAGGTTATGTATAGGAGCTAGTATTTCTTTCTTTACAAGATGCTCACTATTTCTTTATAGTCTATTTGTATTATTCAACGAAGTACTCGAAATATAAATTAGAAGATATTATTTCAATTTTTATTATAAGTCACCTTCGATATATTTCATTAAAATTAAGAAAATTCTTAAAATTTATTAACTTTGTCTTAAATTATCCAAGGGGGTATGTAACGTTTCTACCATCTCATTATTTTTATAATTGTGGTAAATAATTTCACTCTTATCATATTATATTCTTTGGAAAAGAAGCTTGCATAACACATGCAATGGTAGGTTTAAAAAGACGCGGGCTTTTATCCTGCCTTCTCACGTATAAGAAATAACGAACCAACTATATATTAACTAATTCTAACGATTCATTTCAACTGCCAAGAGAGGAAAATGCGAAGAAGATCCTCGAATTAAAGAATCCTTGCATTTTCTCCCTCAGCTCATTATTCTTGTTTAATTTTCTCTCACGTACGTTCTTGGGAAACACAGAGCTTTTTCATTTTTCATCCTCTCCACCATAATTAAACATTATTCCAGCCATGGACGATGATCCAGAATTTTTTCCCTGCCACTCCAGTCAAGACGAAGAAGCTATGGAGACGTACTTCCCCCAAGAATTTGATTTCATGCCCTTCGCATACTTGTTCGACGATCCCCGACTTAGTAGTAAGAGAGCCGAAGCATTAAGCACAATCGTTCATGTATCTCATCAGACTTTACTCCAAGTTCTAGTTCAATGCCCTTTCATTCTTTATTTTGCTTTTCCAAGATTACATTATTATAATCTTTCAAGACCCTCTGTAATGTTTTAATCTTCTTGAGTTTGGTCTGCATTGCCATTCCGTTTCTGAACTGATGTTCCAGTTTGGCTACCGAGAAAACACAGAAAGATTATGGAAATGAAGTTTAATTACGATCCTTTAGCTTGCAACTATATATAGCTAGCTCTTTGCTTTTCTTGAAAGAAATAAGAACGTAGTTGTAATTGTATATTCATCAATTCCAGTTTTTCATTTAATCTTTACGTCTGCTATATATATAGATTCATGAGTTACATATGTTTCTCTCTGAAGGGTATAACTTCCTACACTAAGGTCTATCTCAGCCACTCAAGATTTGACCTTGTGGTGTTCTTGGACTTGTGATTTGCTAGCATAAAGAGAGATCGCTGTGTTATTTACTTTTACGTAAGAATTCTATATTTCTACCTATGACGTTACATTCTGGTGATACATGGATGTTGTTTTGCAGCTTACGAGGAATCGAAATGTTGATGTATATATTCCCTATATGGCCATGAATTACTATGACCGCTACGTTTCAAGGAATCCAGCGCCATCGAGAAGGAAAAATCATGTGGCTGCTGTATGTTGCCTCACCCTTGCCTTCAAGATGAGGCGCAAAGACTTTTGCGTCATAGATTTTAAGGTTAATTTAATTAATGTAATTTTGAATACAACAATATATATTTGCAAGGTCTTGTTGTGTGTTCTAATAAACTTTACGCTGTATTGATTTGTTCGTTGATTATTATTATATTAGCAAGCTGAAAAGCTGCGTATTAGTCGTAAGGCTCTGGACAATATGGAGCTTGAAATTTTCCGAGGACTTGATTGGCGACTTTGGACTATTACGCCTTTCTCCTTTCTTCTCTATTATTACCCTAGATATAAAGAGCTTGGTGGTTTCAAATGGAGTCCTATTGTTAACATTATTATCGAAGCTCAAGCAGGTACGTTGTGAATTTACGTTCTGATCTCTGAACATTATGATATGGTTTGCAAAGTGTGAGTCTGATTTATATTTTCTTCTTTCTGAAGATAACAAGTTAGCTCGATATAAGCATTCTGAAATCGCATCTTCCAGTCTTTTGGCTGCTGCAGCAATACTGTATCCCAGGGAATTCCTGAGCAACTTTGTGGATGATGTAAGGAAATTGCATCCAAATGGCATATTGATACATCATTGATTTGATGATCGAGTGATGATTATTAGTTACATCACTTGATGACGAGTTTGATCTGTGATTCCAGGTGGATAGGGCACCCGCTTTATGCCATCTGATTCAAATGTGTGGTACTAAGAATATTACAATTCAACGTCCTAAACCAAGGGGACCCGAAACGGATGAGGCATCAACTTCATACAATGCTAATGATTCTGCAGACGCTGAACCAGATGATGATGATCAAGCAATCCCAAGAAGACATGGAAAGGCGGTTGCATCATCCAGTTCGCAGAATGATCATGATTCTCTAAAATTAACAGATGATCAAGCAATCCCAAGAAGACCCGGAAAAGAGGTTGTGGTATGTACTTCACCGATTGATGACGGTCCTTCAGGAGTAAGAGATCATCAAAGGAGACATGCAAGGGAGTTTATGGCATCTACTTCACAGGTTCATGACAATCCTTCTCGGAGACCTGCAAGGGAGTTTATAGCATCTACTTCACAGGTTCTTAACGATCCTTCTCGGAGACCTGCATGGGAGTTTATCGCATCTACTTCACAGTTTCGTGACGATCCTACCGGGAGACCTGCAAGGGAGTTTATCGCATCTACTTCACAGGTTCGTGACGATCCTTCGGGGACACCTGGGAGGGAGTTTATAGCATCTACTTCGCGGATTGATGACGATCCCTCTCGGAGACCTGGAAGGGACTTTATGGGAGCTACTTCACAGGTTGACGAAGATCCCTTAGCAGTAAAAGATGAACAAGAATTTTCAAGGAAGCCTGGAAAGGAGGTGGTAACTATCTCACAGTGTAGTCCTTCAGAAACAGTTGATGATGATGACGAACAAGAAGACCCGAGAACCCTCCTAGAGGAGTTGGGATTTACTTCAGAGACAATTGATTCGTTTTTAGAGTTCACAAAAGAACAAGACGACCCAAAAAGCCGCCTAAAGAAGTTGGGGTTCAGTTCACGAATAATTGATCCTTTATTTGCGTTCACGGATGAACAGGAGATCCCATCCACATCTGGAAGTCTGGCGGTATTCACTTCCCAGGGTGGGTCTTCAGAAGCAAAAGATGAACTAGAAATCCCACAAAACCCCATACAGGACTCGGCATCTTCTTCACAGATAACTTATCCTTTATCAGTGACAGATGAACCAGGAGGAAACCCATACGGATCGTCTGGAAGCATGGCGGCATTTCCTTCCCAGGGTAATTCTTCAGCAGTTACTGATGAACTTGAAATCCCAAGGAGACCAGGAAAGGAAGAGCTGCCAACTACTTCAGAAGTAACAGAAGAGCAGGAAATCCCAAGGAGACCAGGAAAGGAGGAGCTGCCAACCACTTCGGAAGTAACAGAAGAGCAGGAAGGAGACCAGGAAATCCCAAGGAGACCAGGAAAGGAGGAAGAGAGAAGAAGGCTTGTTGCTGCACTTGACGCTGCACTTGAAGCTGGGTTG